TGAAATGTTTATATATATATTATCTATATCTATAACTAATGCAATATGAACTGGATTCAGTGGATTTATTTATTTTGATTGAACAGGTACCTGATTTTGTGTTAAAAGAGGTAGTCTTTTGTTGACCATGTTGTAGACTTGTATTCCTATCATGAGATTTATGGAAGCCATTCTGTCATAGATGAAACTGTATCTTATACCTCACAGTATAATATCATGTCTGAATGGAAAATGAGCTTTGCTTCCCCACCCACGAACACTGCCCCCTAGTGACTACATTATAGACTGCAGCCAGCTGAGCTGGAATTCTGTATTTTATGGCAGGTCTTCATTTTGTAGTGATCACTTTCAAACCATGGCTGTCATATCTATTCAAAAGGTAGTCCTTAAAACGACTTGTGGAAATTGGGATCTGAAGAAGGTCCTGGAAGAGATTGACTTTGAGGGAAAAAATTAACAGGTGGTTATTACATTTTGTTTATTCAAATTGTGGAAAAGTGGTGAAGTTTTCAAGAGTAATGCACTTCTTGCATGTTAGTATTTCATTTTGGAATTTTCTGCCTTCAATATGCAGCTGCCTATAAGTATAACCTTCATCGAAAGCACTCTGGCGCGACTTTTCGTGAAGAATCCATCCAAACTTCCCAGTAAACAGATACATATATGTGCTCAGTGCTTTGGAGAGGATAGCAAAGCTTACTTTCCTATTGTGTGACCTCTTTGTGTTGTCAGTGTTTTGGATTTGTAGAAAATATGATATGTTAGAAAATAGTGACTCAATATTTACCACGTTGCACTGCATATCCAATGAGATTCCTAACTTATGGTTGATTTTGGAGAGCCATTCATTATGATCATGTTTCTGAGATGATTGAGTTTATAGACAATGCCCATTGTTAGGTTCTAGGGTGAAACGTCTTAGCATATAGTTCTCAATGTAGTATCTTGGAAAACCAAGCACAAAGACATTATTCAAGATTTGAGACAACACAGTGTAGTTAAGTTAGTAAGCCAAAGAAATAGGTGTTAAATGGAAATAACAAACCAAACAGTTCCCGTAAAAAAAACCTTTGAATGCCATAACTGATATATGTGGGGTATCCAACATTGAGTTGTGTTGAATGAGTTAACATTACACTGACTGAGGTGAAATTTCGAGACTATTTCCCTCAACTATTTAAAAAGAATATCAGTTTATTGTAAATTACAACCAACTTCCAACAGCCCCTTATCATGTGACTATTATAGTAGATCCAAATAATTGTTTTTTATGAGATTTAGCCATGGTCCTTTCCTTATTTGGAGCCTGGACAAACAATACTTCATGTGATGCACCAAGGCTTTTATAGACAACAACAGAGAGTGTTAGGCTTAAGGTTAACTATATATTATATATATTATATATATGCATGATAACTTGATTGTCTTTCACTGCGCACAGATATAGTTCTTGTTTACAACTATGTATAGGGAGAGAGAGAGCTGAAATGACAGCTGTCAATCACTATTTGCCGTTGCATGTTGATTTCTGGTTCCCCATATATGGTATCATGGCTGCTAGGAAATACACGTAATATTCAAGGGTTACATATGTGTACTTAAACAGATATTTTGGTAGGACGTGTTTAGATGGAATATTGTGTTTCTGATAGAATACTGTGTACCAGGAAATTTAACACTCACCGTTGCATGTTTGCTGGGTGTATGAAGAATTATTATTCCTGTGTGTTACTCTACACTTCTGAAGATGTAATGTGTGAACCTTATAAAGAGTGAACTGTTCTATCTCCTACACAGTAAGACTGGAGCTGTCTCACGTATGACATGGAAATGTTCCGTACGTTTGACACCCCCCTTGTGAAATAGACTGGTCCCATCTCAGTCATTACTGCCAGAAATTTGGATGCTTTGTGGACTGTTCCATTATTGGATGGAGGGAAGTGATTGTCGTGCTTAGCAGGAAAAGATGGTGGTTGTTGTTCTTGTTTGTTTGCAATTTAGTGACCTAAACAAAACATGCGAATATGGACTTGGCAGTAGTGCTGAGACGGGACAGACAAAGTGAAATGTGGGGGGTTGTCAGAAATGTAGGGAATTTACAAAGCTAATTGTGCTTGAGTGTTATGATACTGTTCTTGTTAAATGGTGGGATAACTGTGGGGAAATAGTGATGCATTTTATTGCCTTGAAAATTTGAAATGTGGTTTACTAATGTTATGAAGAGTTGGCCTAGCTAGTTCCACTTGAATAGTGGGTGTTGATGTGATGATATAGAGGTAAAGTATATAGTTTATTATGCAGAATTATAGTGACGAACCATTAAGAGATGGCGTTACCTATTACTATTAGATATTTGAAATTGTCTGGAATGTTCGCAATGTTTAATGTTGGAATATGAAGTGTAGAGTTAGCTGACACGCGGGTGTATTTTTGGAGACTTGGGCGTATTTTGGTGGTAATGTGGAAGATGAAATATGACAAAGGGCCCCCTACCATACTCATTGCTTGTAGCTGCATGCTTGATCTTGGCCACTTTTGCTTTGCCTTTAGTGAAGAAATATCATCTTACATTTACTAAGTTTGGTCTCACCACAGTATGTTGTCCAGCCAAAAATGGGGAAAATTTGCCTCAAGATGTGTGTGAAGTCAAAGGCTAGACTCGAAAATAATGCCAAATGTATGCTGGATAGTTGGAACTGTCTACTTCACATAGATACAAAATCCCTTAATTTGGAATAACCTATAAGAAGTTCACTGTTTTTTCTTTGCTATCATAAGACCATGGTTTGCAGAATACTAGTAGTATGGTCCACACCATAGTATGATGGATAAGCAGCACCAAAACATTTTTCACCAAAATATAAAAGAAAGACTGACCTCCAGTTATGGCTTGCATTTTTACTTCAAAAATTCCTTAAAATGGTACAAAAACCTAATTTTCCCCATTAAACCACTCAAACCCTTGAGCTAGCCGATAATCTGACAATATCTGTGGTCACTAAGTCCAAATCTCTAGAAGCAAAGTGTGTTAAGCATTTGGCATACAGTTGTTTGAGTGCTTCTTGCATGTGTGAATGAGTCCACTGTTTTGACAATGCTAACATATAACTCAACTCTGCAGGTGAATATGCAGGTGGCAGCTTAATAACTAGGATGTACTGTCTATGCACATACTAGTATTGATATATTGATACTACAAATTCGAGTAGGACTTCTCTCAAAAGCTCATTGGCCAGTTTAACTTATCAGTATTAAGAAAATCTCAACATAAAGTAGTTGCCAGTCCAAGGTAATTTTGACATGGAAAATATCCTTTTTTTATGATACTAGAATTGCTTCATTGTACTAATGCTGGATTCAGGACAATTTTCTCACAAAAAAATAACTGCATGATGTCTTTCTCAAAATCTTTGTGAGAAATTTACTTTTGAAATAAACAGAATAAAAGAAACAGCATTCATCTTTCTGATGTGATGACAAATTAAGTAATTTGTAAAAAAAAGTACATGAGCAACAATTCATATTATAATACCAGTATTACCAATTTGTTGAGGCTTGCAAATTATAGATTATGAATTGTGAAAAATTTTGCAACTGAAGAAGGAATGGTAATGGTCTAACAGAACTGGTAGTACCATGTTCTAATGCGCCAGTCTTGTACTTGTCAACTCTAAACTAATGTCCTATCTATGTTTACCAGTTATTCAGTTAAGATTCAGGTAATGCTATTTAATTTTGTCAAGTGCAAGGCTGAACTTAATTAGTATCCACGATTTACTTTCAACATGAATTCATTGTGAACAGCTTTTAAGTTTTGCCCAGCTTAGTTGTGCTGCACATTGATGTTTGGTTTCAATAGACTCTACCTTGCCAAAAATCATTCTCATCAAGTTTTAAAAAATTCTGGAATGATGTTGTCATGAAAACTTAAGAGGATTTCTTTAAAAGTAAAATTTCATGTTTAACTCATAACATGAACTAGTAGTCAAATATACAACACTGAAAAAAGTGAAAATGGTTATGTGCAATCAACAAAACATAACTTATGATGATTCAATGTATGCCACTATATAGCTGCACTTAAAGACATTGGCAATTTTACAGATCTTCAGCAGTGTGGTTATTGATCTTTTTGATTTTCTGTTGCTGCTAGTGCAAGATATATGCAGCTTCCCTGGTGGCTTGTATCGTTCGTTATATGAACAGCATTTCTTTTTCTCAGGGATATTTACAATGGTGAAAGTTTCTTTTTGTACTCCCATGTTTTTGTGTGTGAATGCTTTGGCAGTGTGGACTTACAGGTAGTGCAGAGTATTGGTAAGGGGGCCTAATGTGGAATGAGAGTAGAATAATACTGATTCCTGCATCTAGTAATGGAGTTGCTACTACTAAGTCATGAATTGATTCCATAGGTAGATGTTTTCTATGTTGACATATTATCATGTTCACCTAAGTAATGAGAATTTCTCATGAGCATCTCCGATATTTATACTGTGCAAGGAGGTGAGATTTCTATGTGGGGTTCAGCCGTTTTGACTTATACATAATATTGGATGTTTTTTCTATCAAGTTCGGAAGTTCTGAGATTGATATACTGTACACGGTAAAACTTGCACTTGCAGCAAAAATTATTCCAGTGTAACTTAAACACAACTGTTTGTGGATTTGAATAAACTCAACATGGTATGTGCTTTGCCATGGATGTTGAATGGTATTCAGGCTGTTGTGTATTTTTATTGTATTGTACAATTTTAACACAGGAGCAACAAAATGAATGTAATTGACAGATCAACAATGAATTTCAAACTTTTAATGTATGCACGAAGGAATAGAAGAACGTTTACAACTAGGGAATTTCTCCATGTTTTAAAGCCCACTAAAAGGAAACAGCTTAAGAATGATAGGGAGAGTATTTTATATAAAGATTGCAGCTATCTTTTCATGTAGAGTTACTACTCTAGTAATCAATGTAAATCTAATGGACCAACAAAATCTACCTTGTTAGATGGAATTCCTTACAGAAAAGCAAATGCCCTTGCATAAAAATTCAACTTGTTTCATTGTGTCACACCAAAATCGCACCCATCAAAAAGTCTAAAATGTATGTTACATCTAAAGTACATGTATTTACAATTAGTTTGCAAAGTCCTTGTCCGTGTATGTAGTCACACTTTGATCCCCATTTCCCAGTTACATTACATAATATGGATAATTGGACCCATGATTTACATGATACTGATCATGTCTATTGTTCATGTGTAGTTTACCACCACTTCAGCCATCCTTTCTTTCTCCCTCTCACCCTGGTGGCTATGTGGTCTCCATCTCCCTCTAGCTCTGTGTCTCCCTCTGCCCCTTTCTCCACCTCTTCTGCTGTGTGTTCCTCTACTTCTTCCTTCACACCTGTGGAGACATACTCCTGACCGCCATCACTGGCATCCTCCCATGTATCAGAGGCTTCCTCGGATGTCTGTGGAACTTCTTCCGCACTTTCAGGAACCTCCTGGCTCCCTGGAACAACCTCCTGTTCTCCTGGGCTCTCCAACACAATCACTTCAGGAGATGATCCCGCTGGATTGTTGCTGCTATCCTCTTCACTGGCAGCCTGTGGGTCATCCACAACTTTCTGTTTTTTTGCTGCTGCTCTTTCTGCAGTTGTCTCTTCGGTACTTGCTGGCCTCCTCTTTCTTTTGCTGCTTTGTGGATGAGAGTCATCCAAATGTTCAACCTCTTCTTCTTTAACAATGACATCCTTTGCTGCTGGTTCTGTCTCATGTCCAGCTGATAGGTCTTCCTCACTGCCATCAGGTGCAGTTGACGGGCCTGCTTCCTCCGTCTTAGAGCTATCAGCTGCAGATGCCACCTCTTCTGGCTCAGTGTAGGTTCCTGTTGTTCCAATAACATTCAATGGAAGGAGGTTGTTCAAGTTGGGAAGCTCGTTTGGAATAAACTTGATCCTCTCCTGCAGGGAAACGCTGATGTCCTGCGGGGTTTGCTCGATCGACGCCTCTGTCAACCGCCGTGTCATCTCTTGCTGCATGGAGAGTAACTCGTTATTACTGCCAAAACGAACCAGCCTGTCTCCCAGCTCACACATCGGCCTGCACTGTTCTGCAAGTGGCGTGTACTTCTCCTTTTCTGCTTCTACCCTTCCCTTCATCTCGGTGGAAAAGTGCTCAAGCTGTGAGAGGAGGAATTTCTCCTTCCCCCGGATGAACTGTGTGACATGGCCGATGAGCGCCTCTGTCGAGTTCTGTATCTGGAACCTTGTTTCTTGGATGTTTTTCTCGAGACCCTCTTCCAGCGGCCACTTGAGGTCCTTGCATTTCTCAACGAGTTGTCCGAGAATGTCTCGGTAGTTCTCGGAGGCTGCGGCCACCTCAGTTGTGACGTGCTGTGCGTGTGAGGCCTGGGCACACATGCCGCAGACCACGATGTTACAGGATTCACAGAACACGTTGGTAGGAAGGTGGTGGCGACGGCACGTCTTGGTTGTAGATGTGTGCTGAAAAACGCAAAAACTACAGGTTAAGTTCTGTCCTTTCTTGTTTTGTACGCACATTTACAATACTCTTTATACATTATATACATTAACGAAGTTCAAGAGACAATATTTCAAAGAAATGACATTGTAACGTGTACATCGTGAATGTTTCTGCAATACCTGTAAGAGATGATAGATGGAGCATTCCTGACAGAGGTAGTCCTTGCACTGCTTGCAGGTTCGGTTTGCTGGTGTGAACCTGGCCTGTTGGTTGCAGTAGTGCTTCATGAAGATGGTGTTGTGGTAAGTCTCGATGAATGAGCTGAGGTCTGCTACACGTGACAGGAACACGTTGGCTGGGTGCCGCAGGCCCCCAACACCATCGGACGGAAGGGGGGTGGTCTGCTGGCAGATGGGACAGGAGATGACATTGGATCCCTGCAAAGGAAAAAAAGATAACATTTAATTTACCTTCTGTACTTAGAGTCTATATTTGCTCCTTTTTAACATAAGGTATTGAGGGAGATATGATAATGCAACATCAGTATTACCCCAGGATTTGCAGAGTCAAATGTTTAGAAAGCTTCAGATAGTACCACGCTTCAGGGCTACAGAAACTTACAATCTTTCAACAAAAAGCACTGCAGATGTTTCCTCCCAATATCTGCATGTCACACCGAAAATCTATCTCAAAGTGCAGTTTATAATGATTAAGAGGCCCAGCCACTGTATTTAATGACAGCAAGTTCCATTAGATACAAGTGTTCTCACCTGTTGAGTCAGAGAGTTCTTGTAGTCTGTGAGACAGGGTAGACAAAAGGGATGCCAGCAGTTCAGGAGTTTTGGTACGTTCAGGAGTCCCTGGCACAGACGGCACGTCACGAAACTGAACTCTTCCTTCTCAGTCATGCTGGAGCTGAGGAAATTCAACACAATGATCTGCTTGGAGACTAAGTGGTAAGATGGTAATGTGTATGGGATGGGGCTCTTCTTGTAAAGTATTGAGGACAGTTGCAACTAACTCCTTTACATACATTTTGTACAAACATACACATAATACATTGTACATGCACACACACATACTTTCTCCCATTACTCATTCACTTCCCATTACTATAGGCAACAAGTTTTGTTTTTTTTTGGTTCTTGAATTTCAAACATCTTACATGACTGTCAGACACGCTTTGATGTGCACAGTTTTCCGTCCCAGCACTTTTCATCCTGGCCTCCGGTGTAGCCTAATACCTTTACATTGCTGCCTCCTACCTTGCACACTCCTCCGCAGGTACAGGTTGTTGAAGACAAGTTCTGCGGCGGCTAGCTTGTCTCCTGGTGAGCTGAGAGATGGGCCTGAGGTTGAAGACTGCAGATCTATGACTGGAACTGGCCAGGGCTGCTGGAGGGAGGGGAGTGGAGATCTCCTGGCCCATCGCCTACAGTAATCTACAGGATACACCAGACTGGCTTCACCTTTGAAGGTAAAGATGTACAAAATAAAAAAACAACAACTCAGAATAGCTTTTGTAAATGTATGTGTATGAAAGCTAATGGAGTAATGTAGTATCCAAGGTCAGTTGCTCCATTGAGTCTCAATTAATTGCTTTTTTTTCTTCAAATATATCCACAAAATATGTGTAAAAAAGAATGTACAGTACTTGTTATGTCCATGAAAAATGAGGTTTTGTTTTTGGTCTGTGTGTCTAGTTGTGGTCAGCATAACTTATATAATTAAGAAGGTCTGGATCTAATAGACTATTGTGATGATATTTAGTATGTGGGTAGGTCGTTGGTAGATAATGGTCAATGTTAAGGCCTCCTTGTGGCTGTCCTTGGTACTGCATGATAACTCAAATAATGATTACATTCAAGATAGGGCCGTAACATAACTAGTACATTGCAGCTAACTTTATACCATGCATGAAACTTATGTAGGGTTTTGTCACTACTTTTTTGTACTACACAATACTAGTATGCTTTCAAGCTGCAACATAAATCCCTATTGTCGTTACCAGTCAGAATACTAGTCATCTTCAAGCAGATGTTAGCATGAGGAGTCTATTTCTGGCAGCCTAACTGGTTGTTCATGTATCTGTTTGGTATGTAAAATTGGGGCACAACAACAACACGCCCACAGAACCCGGAAGTAAATAGTATCACAACGCGATTCTTGTTCGATCTAAACCAACCCGCAACCAATCAACTCTTTCATCGATTAGATTAACCAAGGATGTTTTGTTATATGGACTAACATGTCCCTTCTTTCGAAGGCCGTATTAGCACCCGACATAAAAACTATGGGCTTTTCAAAACAGTATAAAATCCTTACAACCCAGCCAGTAAATTCATCAGCTAAATTATAAGTACGCGTCAGAGGGTGTGCGATACTCGACACTTTCATAATCGCTTTCACACCAAAATTGTCATAATATCATGGCAGAAAACGAGTCCCTACCTTCTTAAGAATCTGCAAGTCGTCTGAAAGCTCTTGATTGTCCTGAATTTTAGGCAATAACTGCAAAAGTACCAATCGGAAAACACGACAACAACAGTGCTCCGCGACGCGTAAATGGACGCTAGACTATTCCACTACTCCATTCTATGGGGGGGGGAGGCAAATGAAGTCAGATGCTAAATATATGTAACGTTACATTCATATATCAATTTAGTCATTACATAATTAGACAATAACACGTTATGCTGAGACAGAATGGTAAAAACCTGTGACATATTTATCAAAATATAGTGACTGACGGAAAACTTATAAAACAGCTACTGGTAAAATGGTATCTTCCGTTACGCGTCAGCAATAGTCTACAACGCCCCCGTGTGGGAAAACTGTGAAATGCAGTAGAGTGTAGCCTATGGTACGATATACCAAATAATTCGTCTCGATACTTTACCCTCCACGTATCTGCTTGAAAAAGTAAGCGATATATCTACGCACGTCATTCATTTTTGGACCCAGGCAGATATAATTTCTCAAATTAGATTAGTGCAGTGTCGATAGCTGTAACACAAGTGTGCAAAAATCTTCGATCAGTCTTAAATTTCTCATCTGATCAGATATCCCCCTTTGTCATGAAAACAAACAAATGTGCCCATTAATTTCATAATGTTTGTGTATTCTTTGGTCACCGGCCATTTATCTTCGCATTGAACCGTACTGCACGAATAAAAGACTTGTCTAGGTAAGGCTGTGGTAAGGCTTAAAGGCAGCCCTCGTTTGAATTTTGTAAATTGCTGTTACGCGTTTCTGATTGTAAAGGCCATGATTACACTGCAAAAGCACCAAATATATGGGGCTAGTGTCAACAATCACTGATCAGTCTGCATAACTCATTTAGTCTTTCCAACCAGTCATTATATCAGTGATGGCACCTTTAAGGCTTTAAAGTATCTAACAGTACTTTTAGTAATTTTGAACTGGTGCATTAGTGTAGTCCTTTATATAATAGTTTCTTTTGTGACGTAAATTGCATCCGCCAAAACGTAGGTTCACGCCCGGCACGATCGGCTGTATGACAACAACACCGGACATAATTATCTTAATGGATAGAACTTGTTTGTTACACCGTGGCTATGTGATATATATGATGCGTGACGGCCGGTGCCAACATAATACGACGTGACAGCAGTTCGTCAACATTTGGCAACCGTACGGAGTCACTGCATAGACGACAAAAACGGAAGATCCGCAATGAGACGAAAAGGTAAGGATTGTACATTCAGTTTTTTTTTTAAAGAAGTTCAGTTAGAATCCTTCTCACACCTTGTGGTGTGTAGATGGGCTGTTCCCATCGCTGTTTCTGAAGCCCTTGGGCCACACGGTGTGTATTGTATCCAGAACCGCGCCTATCTAGTAGTTCTATGCATGAGGGGGTTAGGGTCACATTTACCTTGTTAATCTTTGCTTTAGATATAGTACTTGTTTTCCTAATTTTTAAGCCATACTTATTTACTTAGTAATTCCCTGCATGGTTCTCGTTATCTCTTCATTTTTTTTCTGATGAAAAATCACACGACGGGAGGCCTACTAGGAGAATCAATCATCTTTTTTCTTTCTTCTTCCCAGGTCGACAACCTACGGCGAGATGTCGCCAGGAACGACCGTTGGCTCCAGTTGTTTACCTTCTCCTGACAGTCTTAACCTTGCACTTCATCTCCAAGTACATCGGAGCGAATTTGTTTTGGAACGAAAGTCAGGCAGCCGAAGTAGGAACGGCATCTGAGCGTACCCCAGTACGGGTGTCATCGGTCCATCGCAGTCGTGACGCCGAGGTAGATCTAGATTTACCCCGCCAACGCCGCGCAAGTCCCGAGGATTGGAACGGCGACGGCAACGCCAACAAGCCGAGCGAACAACACATCAACCAAGCGGTCTCACCGGTCTTCTTCAAGAATGCTCATGATCACAGCGTCAACTTCAGCAAAGTCAAATCATCCGCTATCGAACGGCCGCCAAAAAAGATGAGAAAATTTTCTGAACTCCGTAGAAATCTCGAAGAATCCACAATTAGCTACACAAATCACGGCCCTGCTTCAAGTTTTCTACCAAAGTCTCGGCATTCGCGACACGTTAGTGAGCCACTCTTTGAAGAAGAAAGTTCAGGCGAGAAACCGACAACTGTCCAAACACAGGAGCCCCGAAATTCAACCGTGCACAATCTCTCAACGGGTGAAAGTACTGTCGGACCCGAAACAGAAGAAGTCACTCAGACACTGTACACAGGACAACCAAATGCGACTGAATCCAATGAAGGCAGTACAGCGATTGCCACCACCGCCACAACGGTAAACCCACACCAGCACACGGGTTTGAACACAACGGCAACCACTTCGAATTCCACACCAGGTAAGTGTATGCCACAAGCAGACATATTCACTGTTATAAAAAGCAGTAAAGTGATGTCCTACTAGTATCTCTCTCTTGCAAAATGTAGGCCTCCTGATGGCTGTCCTTGGTACTGAATGATAACTCCAATAATCTATCACTTATGATAGAGTTGTAACATGATTAGTAAATTGCAACTCTACCTTACATAACGTTATGCTAGTCTGCAATGTCTACAGGCTATTAATCATGTACCGGTATATAATTATGATGACAAAGATACTTGAAATGACTTGAAACTAGCTATTGCAAGTGCTTATTTCATCTGATTTACTTACACAGTGTAAGTTTCATCATCAACCTCCAACATTGCACTGTTGAACATTGATATGTATTTCACAGTATGCCTGTGGCCGCACGTCGGTTAATTCTATTTTTGCAAGTCATCCCAAGTGTTATCTTCCTCTTTTCCTTGTTTATTAGGTGACAATCATCAATGGTTACGCGTTTCTCCATATTGGTCTGTTCAATACAACAGTTTTGAAAGGTGGAGGGAGCGAGCCTTGAAGGCATTGGACGAGATACCAAAGACTATATGGCTCGTGTCCTACACTCTACCCTTGGTTGTGGACTTCGGATCGCCGCACGAACTAAGTCAGATACGCGTTACGTACATGAAAAACCAGCACGCGGTTACCGGGTACAGCATTTATGTTACAAACGGACCGCATGCCCAGCGAACACAAGTCCAGTGGACGCACGTTCTGACCGTTCAAAGGCAAAACGTGAGCGCTAAGGGGCCAGAAACAGTCGCTGGATTTTCTGGCATCGGCCGCACGTGGAAAGTCATGTTCTTACATACACTCAGTGCGCAAGACAGATGGTGTAGCACAACTTATGACTACCGTGATAGAGTCTTGGTGCGAAAGGTGGAGTTCTTTGGTTCAGAAGGTGAGACAACTTTGCAATACGAAAGTATGCACTGACAAGTCAATAATTCATACAGCGTTAATACGTTAAGCACAATACTCTCACAATGACCACTTTCAGATGTTTGTATTATGTTCCTGCACATCGATATCATCACAAATGTATATTTTAAAATTGGACAACATCTTATGTATACGGCTTTCAGTAATACATGACATAGGCTAATAGGTACCCATAGCCTTAAAATGTTTTAACGCATTGTGGACAAATAACAGTACATGTACATGACGGCAACTGGAGCCAAACGTAGTCCACAGGTGACTCTATCTTACACGTGTGTCTTAATGTTTTGTTTTTGTATGGTATCTACAAGTGCAAGGCGCCGGTGGAGAAATGGTCCTCCCAATCGGTCATTGGCTAACAGACGAAAAAAACCATCCAACGGTCCTAGAACACACGGGCGAGGGTGATGACAGCGTGGTGACTGCGAGTATACCAGATCTTAGGCGCAACAACTACCCGGCGTGGAAACCAGCGGGGGAACCTCGCCACTACAACAACTGGTTTTTCGTCTTAGACTATCGCGCCAGTTACACCATGACGAAGCTGAGGATTGTCAACGACGGCTGTGACTGGCAGCACGACGTGAAGGCCTTCACGCTTCACGTGTCTCTCAGGAGTAGCCCTTACGACTGGACACTCGTCACGACTGTTACTGACGTGGCTGCCAACTACACTCTCCCGCAGTACTACGCCGGTTTCTCGGGGTCCGGCCGCTACTGGAAGGTCACCGTCACCGAAACCTATTCTGGCTTGGAGCCGTGGCTGAGACCGTTTCACCTGTATGGCATCAAAGGTATTTATCTATTGGCAGTTTATCTGAGTTGGTACTTTGCATAGTACAGAACTAAAAGTTTGTTTCAACATAACAAGTTAGCGAAAACAAAATACTAGTTGAACAAGAAGTCGAAGACTTCAGACTTTCGAGAGGTGCGATTTTTTTGTGCATGTAACCGATTCTGACGAATGGAATGTCTTATAATTTCAGACTCACCATACCTCTGCAGGGAATTCGACCTCTTTGGATTAGATCTCGTAGTACGTGGGTCAACCTGGATCTACACAAGCGATGAGGTGAGTATTCATTTCCTATTGCTGGCATTCCAATTTTCTACATCTAATGCCTCAGTCACATGGGGAGCAGCTTTCACAGTCATGCTACAGTGAAATTTCCGAACCGATGCCCTTTCGGGTAGCATAGTGCATACAAATCACCTTGCATATCTTGTGCCTGTTTGGCGAACAGTGGTACATGTGTTTATGTTTGGTGTAAGTTCCAACTGTTGTTGTTTTCTTTGTTTTGTCAGGACGACGATGAAATGGCAGTGGGGACGGTTCTTGATCGGGAATTCAGTCTACGTACGAGCTTATACACGTACGACGTGAAGTGGGTCCAAAGCGGGCACCCTGGCCAATACTTCATCGGAAACAGCAAAAATACGCGACGGTTTGATCTATTCCCTGCTGGCTTTGGTGAGTCATGATCACCTTCTTGTCAACAATATAGCTGTGAATAGTTTAATCGGGTCGATAATCCCATGATAAGGGGGGATACAGACTTTGTCATGTTTGGGACCGCGTAATGCAGCGCCATCTACTGGTGGGAAGTAGATTGCACCCGTCGGGAAAGCCGGCGGGCGATATCAGCTTCTTGGCACTTTTGACTAATGACTGGCGCTACGTGTCACAAAGTTCACGTGGTCTAAGTGATTGATCATCTGCATTCTTGAGATTGCAAAGAAAGTGGAAAATTCCATGTTTTACTTAAAATTGACCTGGAACAAAGTATCAGCAACATGCATATCTCATTGAATCTGCAACAAACAAATTAAGAGCTACCTTCTCCCCAGATTGTCGGAGAGATGTCCCACCTGACATGTTGTTACCCTTTGATGATGACATCTGCTGCGTCCCAGGTCAAGTTGCTTTATCTTACATTAAACCATTTACTAAAGCCTTGATTTCTCTTTATTACGCGCATCATGTATATAGATATATAAATGTATATAGACTTAAAACGCTACATTTTTATCTACTTAACATTGTCAATGACATAACGTTATAAAATGCAGAGACAGGTCATTCAGTGGACATTTTTTTGATGAGTCAAATTTTGAGAATGTTGGTATTTGATTTTGCAGGCCATATAGACTGGACTCCTCAGGTTAGTTTGTTTTCTTCAATGGTCTCTATTATATGTGTTTTGACTTCCGGGATGGAAGTTTTGTTTTGGGTGACGCACTAGGTTTGTATGTTTGTATGTTCCAAAGTGAGTGGGCGAAGATTGGGTTTCAATTGATCAACAGGGTTTGACCCAATTTGCCCTTGGCTCAAGGACGTGGTCGCCAGGAATGTATGAAACATAACCACGGTGTAATAGTGGAGTAAGTTTCATCACGAATAATGTATTCTAATGTGTATTAATTAGTGAAAACTATACCTACCTACCGGAAATGTTAGATGTTGTTTCTTTGTACATTTCGCCTCAGCCTGAGCTGCGTGGACTGCGATGTTCGCACAATGCCCAATGCAGGCCCAGGGTGTGTGGGCTACACATGACGGGAAACCCCTGTGCGTGTGACAAGGCATGCAGGTACGTTTGATTTGTTACGTTCATCTCTCTCTCTCTCTCTCTCTCTCTCTCTCTCTCTCTCTCTTCACCACAGGCGTTTTTTTCTTGTTAAATCTTTGAAAGATGGTAAATCAAGAGGGACATTGCAGATCGTCGTGATTTTTGGTATATGGGTAGCGTAAGTGGTTACATACATAATAAGATGCAAATCATTTAATGCACGACTCTCTCTCTCCCTCTCTCTCTCTCTCTCTCTCTCTCTCTCTCTCTCAACGGAAGGATATTTGGAGACTGTTGCTATAACTACGAAGCCGTCTGTGGGGACGACGTAGCAGACGACGAAGTTCCCCCTGTCATACAGCCAGACTCCTGCAAGGGACGATGTGACATGGAGAACATTGTCAGGTACAACATGCTGCATATGAAAGTGCAAAGCCTTTAGGTAATGTTGCAAACTATACGCCATGACAGCTAGCACATTTATCCAAGTTTTCACAACACACATTGGTTTTCTTTTGATTATGATACTTGTATACTATATGCAACTTCGCAATGTATAAAATTAAAAAAAAGTACACAATTTAATTATTCAAATACAGTATTCTTCTTTTCCCTTTCATCAGAGGTTTACTTTTGTCTCTATCTAGTGTCGTGACGTGCAACTGCACGAGTTCCTGTAACACAACCCAAACATGTTGCGATGATTTTGAAGATGTCTGCCAAAGCGAAAAAGACGACGGGAACTGGACCAGCAGCAGCAACTGGACCACGGCAGCAGGAGGCAGTGAGGTATTAAAATACAATTTATCCGACTGCAGTGCTCTAAACGAGCTGCCTAACATTGTTAGATCTCCTGTTGGATACCTTTTTATACATTTATTTAGTTCAATCCTTTCAAATCATGGATCAACATACCCATTGAAGGTACACATGTACTAGTGAGTGACCTCCGTCATTCAATGCGTTTTGGCATGGGAGCGAGAAGGTGTTTGCTCTCACGTGACTATGACATGGTCCGCCATGCTGGATGGTTGAATCAGGACGTTGCCATGTATGTTTCAATATGTAATTCTTATTCATGGCCTTACGCAAATATGAATTTGATTTACATGTCCAACCAGTGTGGCGGCCGTCGTTGACATGATCATGATGTGCAATTATATAATTAGTTTCTTGGTACACTTTTGACCGTTTTGTTCTTCTTGGACAGCCGCTGCAGTGCGTGGCCCCCTGGAAATCCCGTGCCCACTTCTGGATGGTGGCGAGTTGCCCGCCCGGCTACACAGACGACGTCGTCCGGGGGATGTGCGAGACTTCCGACGGGCACGTCGACATGTTTCTCCACGCTCCTGTCACCGACAACTCCACCGACACCAACTACAGAAACGTCTTCTGTGCCCTGTGTAACGACGCTAGGTACATGTTAGGCTGGAAAATGGTCGCCAAATGTGGCAGGCGCGTCCTATCGCTAAAAGAAATTCTACAAAGGGACAAGGGTTGTCAGCAGTATTTCCGACCGTCAGGCTATTCCTCTGCGCGACTGTGCTTCCCTCCCCATACAACAGCTCCTAGTTCTAGTCCTGCCTGCGACGTCGAAAAGTGTCGAAACATCACCGCTCTCTTCTTTGCAAAAGGTGTACCCTTTAGGAACTCCGCCTGTGCAAATTGTTACGCAGATAGGGCATCTCTTTGGGAAGCTTCGTGTACCGAAGACGACTTTGTATGGGCTGGTTTCTTCTCTACTATAACTGTCCTTTTCGACTACTCGAATATTTTCCAAAGCAAGATGTCGTCCAGAGAACTTGAGCTAAAGGACCATACAGAGTCGTGTTCGGTTGGATACATATATGACCCGTTTCGAGACAGTTGCCGCCAAATTTCCCCCGATGCTCTGATGAAATTTAGCCAAGTTCCTGGTGTAGAAGAGACGAGAGCTTCTTTGGAAAATGATCCTGACAATGTTCGTAGTGCCCCAACCCCGAGTATCGTCACGGTAGATAGCACAAGGACTCCACCCACAGTTCTCCCAAAGCTAAGCGCTACATTCATTGTTGTCAACACTGTCACTGGCGCTTCTGCCTCCGTTTCTATCCTATCCCTCCTCTCCAGCCTCCGACACCACCCACGCCCTGACACTGTCATGAAAATCTGTTTCCTGACTTCTCTTCTTCTGGCTCAGACCAGCCAAGTCGTGGGCCAGGTCGTTCCGTCAGCAGCCTGTTGCACAGCCATGTTGGTGTGCACGCTCTGTTTCTGCCTCGCCGCTGGGCTGTCTCTCACTGCCACAATCCACCACCTGTCTATCCTACAGCGAGGTGGCACTTGTAAAGCATCTGGCTATCTCTTAGTGATTTTGCTGATTCCGCTGGCAATGTCGGGAGGTTACATTGCACTGGATGACTCAATCCGCATGGGGGCGTCCCAGGAGTCCCACAGCTTTCCTCACTGTTGGATCCAAGACCCCACGAAAATGGCAATCTTTGTCGCCGGGCCCTTTTTGATCTGTACTGCAATCAACCTCTACTACCTGCTACGCATTGCCATGAGGTGCGCTGCCGCCGATTGCGTGCAGTACTTCTTTCTGACACAGGCGGCACTGCTTTTTCTCCCATACACCGTTGCCATGACCACTGGGATTCTCACGGCCTTCGTAGGTGTAGAGTCACTGCGCTCGTTTTTCCTGTACATGGTGACCTCTTTGGGTGGGATAGACGGGTTCCTTTTCTTGGTATTTTCGATTGTTGACGATGAGAACGACAATCCCAATGATTCCTCTCACGGCAACGTCCCGACTTTACCGATTCAAGCCGTATCTTCACTCAACTCCTCTACTAAATAAGATGGAACAAAATTTCAGCATACCCGATCGCGAGCATGGCTTAACGCTTGAAGTTCTTTTTTCTTCTCTTGACTTGCACCTGTAAAAGGTAATATTGAGACTAGAAAGGTAAAATTTGCAAAGCAAATGCATAATGTTTACCTACGCATATGGTCTGAGTCTTACTCAAACACGTTCATATGTATGGTGACAGGAATCCCTCCTGCCATAAAATTGCAACATGATTTAACCCAACACTAGTTACCATGGTGACAGGCGTCTGGTTCAGGTCATTGACCTTATTTGTTTGGAGAAAAAGATGAAGAAGAGGTAGAAGAAACAGAGCAAAAACAATATGTTTTCCTTCTGCAAAGGTAAACATAAAAAAGAATACCTACCTATACCTAGCATGTAACGTTAACACATAACGTTACATCTCTTATTTTCTCCCTTTAATCCATGTTTTGAAGAAAGGTACCGGTCTTCAATTATTAATTGAAGGATGCTACTTTCAAGAATGCAACGATAATATTTTGAATCGACTTTGACGAGGAAGATGCAGTGGAACGAATTAATGTACTGTTTATATGTATTGTAGCTTTAGCTGGGATTTACGTAATTGTAATAAACACAACAGCACCATTTTAGATTCGTGGCAGAATGACATAGTGGATTCTTTGTTAAAGTACTATACTTGTTTAACGACACAGTACTTAAGCTTGACAAGATTATTTTCAGCTTTGTGGATTTTGTGGAATTTTCCTATTGTATGCCTTGTGCTATTGACATCTATTGCAGCTGTGTGTTTGATGTGTTTTAGTATATAAGAATATGACCTTGATCCTCAGATGTTCAGGATTCCAAGTTGTCAATTTATGATAATTAGAGTAGAATTCAGGCTCCAGTTCATAAAATCACTGTATTTACCCTGCACCACTAACAATAAACTTTGAAAACACATAAACGTGTACTTGAAAATTAAATGAACATATATGTACCTGTGTACATGCAACCAATGTAAGATATATTTTGTGTCACATGGTTTTTGTATCTACGTCGTTTGTATTGCGTTTCTTAGTAAATGTGCAAACTATCCTAAGTAGATGTTCTACTTTTTCACATGAACTGCCGTAGATAGTCTCATGCCATCACCGATGTAGTATGCAGAACTCATTTAGTCTTTCCAACCTGTCGTTGATGGCACCTTTAAAGTATCTAACAGTATACTTTAAAAACTTTCTGGTGCATTAGAGTCCTTAGTTTCTTTGGTGACGTAAGTACACGCCCGGCACGACTCGCTGCATGACAACAACACCGGACATAATTATCTTGATGCAATGGGTAGAACTTGTTTGTTACACAGACACTGATATGTGATATATGCGATGCGTGACGGTCAATGCCAACATAATACGAAGTAACAGCAGTTCCTCAACATTTGGCAACTAAACGGAGTCACTGCACAGGCGGAAAAAATCAAAAATTCGCGATGAGTCGAAGAGGTAAGTATTGTACATTCAGTTTGTTTTTATAAAAAGTCAGCTAGAATCCTTCTTACACCTTGTGGTGTTTAGGCATTATCCATCACTGTTTCTGCAACCCTTGGGCCACACAGTCATAGTGTGTTTTATCCAGAACCACGCCTATCTAGTTCTATGCCTGAGTGGGTTAGGGTCACATTTACCATGTTCATCTTTGCTTTTTTATATATACTCAGTACTTCATCAGGGAAAGGAATTGATTGTCTTGTTTTCCTGATTTTTAAGCCATACTTATTCAATTTCCTGCATGGTTCTCGTTATCTCTTAATTTTTTCCTGATTTGAAAAGGAAAAAAAATCACACGAAGGGAGTAGAATCAATAATCTGTTTTCTTTCTTCTTCCAAGATCGACACCCTAAGGCGAGATGTCGCCAGGAACGACCATTGGCTCCAGTTGTTTACCTTCTCCTGACAGTCTTAACCTTGCACTTCATCTCCAAGTACATCGGAGCGAATTTGTTTTGGAACGAAAGTCAGGCAGCAGAAGTAGGAACGCCAGCCACGGCACCTGAGCGTACCCCAGTACGCGCATCATCGGTCCATCGCAGTCGTAACGCCGAGGTAGATCTAGATTTACCCCGCCAACGCCGCGCGAGTCCCGAGGACTGGAACGGCAACAGCAACACCAACAAGCCGAGCGAACACACCAACCAAGTGGTTTCGCTCTCATCCGCTATCGCACGGTCCAAGATGAGAAAATTTTCTCAATTTCGCAGAAATCTCCAAGAATCAGCAATTAGCTACACAAATCACGGCCCTGCTTCAAGTTTTCTACCCAAGTCTCGGAATCCACGAGACGTCGGTGAGCCACTCTTTGGAGAAAGTTCAGGCGAGAAACCCACAACCCTCCAAACACCAGAACCTCGGAATCCAACCATACTTCTCTCAACGGGTAGAAGTACCGTCAGACCCGAAGTCACCCAGACACTGTACACGGGACAACCAAATACGACAGATTCTAATGAAGGCAGTACAGCGATTGCCACGACTGTCATCAACAGAGAATCCAAAGCGATTGCCACAACGGCAAACCCACTGCAACACACGGGTTTGAACGCAACGGCAACCACTTCCGCACCAGGTAAGTAAAAATATTTATATGCTACATGGTGATATACTAGTATTCATTGTCACACCAAGCAGTAAAGTGATATTCTAGGAATATCTCTCTCTTGCAAAATGTAGGCCTCCTGATGGCTGTCCTTGGTACTGAATGGTAACTCCAATAATCATTCCACTTATGATAGAGTTGTAACATGATTAGTAAATTGCAACTCTACCTTACATAACGTTATGCTAGTCTGTAATGTCTACAGGCTATTGATCATGTACCGGTATATAATCATGATGATAAAGATACTTGCAATGACTTGAAACTAGCTACACCTGATTTACTTACACAGTGTAATTTTCATCATCAACCTCCAACATTGATATTTCACTATTTTTTTTGCTTTCAAGTCATCGATCCCAAGTGTGATCTTTTTCTCTTTCTCTTTTCCGTGTTTATAGGTGACAATCATCGATGGCTAAGCATTTCTCTGTATTGGTCTGTTCAATACAACAGTTTTGAAAGTTGGAGGGAGCGAGCCTTGAAGGCATTGGACGAGATACCGAAGACTATATGGCTCGTGTCCTACACTCTACCCTTGGTTGTGGACTTCGGATCGCCGCACGAACTAAGTCAGATACGCGTTACGTACCAGACAAACCAGCACGCGATTACAGGGTACAGCATTTATGTTACAAACGGACCGCATGCCCAGCGAACACAAGTCCAGTGGACGCACGTTCTGACCATTCAAAGGCAAAACGTGAGCGCCAAGGGGCCAGAAACAGTCGCTGGATTTTCTGGCATCGGCCGCACGTGGAAAGTCGTGTTCTTACATACAGTCAGTGCGCAAGAAAGATGGTGTAGCACAACTTATGACTACCGTGATAGAGTCTTAGTGGAAAAGGTGGAGTTCTTTGGTTCAGAAGGTGAGACAACTTTGCAATACGAAAGTATGCACTGACAAGTTACTAATTTATACAGCGTTAATACGTTAAGCACAATACTTTCACATTGACCACTTTTTCGGTAATGATGTTCCTGCACATCATTACAAATGTACATTTTAGAACTGAACAACTTCTTATGCATAGCTTTCAGTAATGCACGGCATACTAGTAGGCTAACTCTAACCGCTGCCCTGAAATGTTTTAAAGCATGCCTTAAAATGTTTTAAAACATTGTGGACAAATATATTCTAACGTAAAATACTAATACAAGCACATGGCTGCAACGTAACTGGAGCCAAAACTAATCCACAACAGATTCCGAGGTAAATCTTAACGTTTTGTTTGTGTATTGCATCTACAACTTAGTGAAAGGCGCCGGTGGAGAAATGGTCCTCCCAATCGGTCATTGGCTAACAGACGTCAAAAACCATCCAATGGTCCTAGAACACACGGGCGAGGGTGATGACAGCGTGGTGATTGAGGGTATAAGAGGTCTTAAGCGCACCACGTACCCGGCGTGGAAACCAGTGGGGGAACCTCGCCACTACAACAACTGGTTTTTCGTCTTAGACTATCGCGCCAGTTACACCATGACGAAGCTGAGGATTGTCAGCGACGGCTGTGACTGGCAGCACGACGTGAAGGCCTTCACGCTTCACGTGTCTCTCAGGAGTAGCCCTTACGACTGGACACTCGTCACGACTGTTACTGACGTGGCCGCCAACTACACTCTCCCGCAGTACTACGCCGGTTTCTCGGCGTCCGGACGCTACTGGAAGGTCACCGTCACCGAAACCTATTCGGGCATGGAGCCGTGGCTGAGACCGTTTCATCTGTATGGCATCAAAGGTATTTATCTATTGGCATCATCATGATGATGTTGCAGTTCATGATCATCTTTGTTCATAGTACAGAGCCAAAACGTTGTTTCAACATAAGAAGTTAGCACAAACAAAATACTAATTGATGGACAAGAAATAGAAGATTTTAGACTTCCGAGATGTGCTTTTTTTTTGGTGAACGTAACTGACGAATGAAATGTTTTATTTCTATAATTTCAGACTCACCATACCTCTGTAGGGAATTCGACCTCTTTGGATTAGATCTTGTAGTACTTGGATCAACCTGGAACAACACAAAAGACGGGGTGAGTTCTCCATTTCCTACTACTGGCGTTAACATATCACGCAGAAATTTCCGAATTACGTATAGTGCATACAAATCACATTGCATATCTAGTTTCTATTTAGTGGTACATGCATTTTTGTTTGGTGCAACTTGCAAGTTACAACTGTTGTTGCTTTCTTTGTTTTGTCAGGACGACGTTGAAAAGGCAGTGGGGACGGTTCTTGATCGGAAATTCAATGTGGTCACGGGCGTATACACGTACAACGTGAAGTGGGTCGCTAGTGGGCACCTTGGCCAGTACTTCATCGGAAACAGCGAAAATACGCGACGGTTTGATCTATTCCCTGCTGGCTTTGGTGAGTCACGATGTACTATTGAAATCACCTTCTTGTCAACAATATATAGCCGTGAATAATTTCATAGCTTGGTGAAGGTTAGACATCCACGTAAACAATGCTCATCGGAAATTCAGACGCTACTACTGGATAAATTAAGGATTGAGATGATTTCCGGACGTTTCGAGTTGTAGAGTCTGAATTTTCAATGAGTTTCATAGCAAGGGCCAGTAATTCCATGACGAGAGGGTACAGTCTTCATCATGTTTGGGACGGCATCCTTCCTAATGCACTGCCAACTACTGACTGGCTTGATTGCACCAGTTAGAAAAGACGGCAGGCGATATCAGCTTCTTGGCACTTTTTGACCAATGACTGACGCTACGTGTCACAAAGTTCACGTGGTCTAAGTGAATGATCATCTGAATTCTGAAAATTGTAAAAAAAAGGTAGTGGCATATTCAATGTCTCGATTAAAATTTTACTGGAACTATGTATCAACATTATGCATAACTCATTGAATCCACAACATACAAATTAAGAGCTACCTTCTCCCCAGGTTGTCGGAGAGATGTCCCACCTGACATGTTGTTACCCTTCGATGACGACATCTGCTGTGTACCAGGTCAAGCTGTTTATTTTACTTATACCTTTGTCTATAGGAGCATAATGTATATAGACATATACAACGCTATATTTTATCTACTAACATTATATAATACAGAGACATTTTTTGATGAGTCAAGTTTTGAGAATATTGGTATTTGATTTTGCAGGCCGTATAGACTGGAATCGTCAGGTTAGTTTGTTTTCTTCATTGGTCTGTATTATATGTGTTTTGACTTCCGGGATTGAAGTCTTGTCTTGGGTGACGCACTAGGTTTGTATGTCCAAAGTGAGTGGGCTAAGTTTGGGTTTCAATTGATCAACAGGGTTTTACCCAATATGCCCTTGGCTCAATGACGTGGTCGCCAGGAATGTATGAAACATAACCACGGTGTAATAGTGCAGTAAGTTTCATTACGAATAATGTATTCTAAGGTGTACTTAATTGGCAAAATCTATACCTACATCCCGGAAGTTAGGAATGTGAGTTTTGTTGTTTCTCTGTACATGTTACCCCAGCCGGAGCTGAGTGGACTGCTGTGTTCGCACAATGCCCGGTGCAGGCCCAGGGTGTGTGGGCTACGCATGACGGAAAATTCCTGCGCGTGTGACAAGGCATGCAGGTACGTTTGATTTGTTACCTTCATCTCCCTTTCTCTCTTTCCCCCGTTAAGGACGAAGTGACTTGATGTTTGGGCCTCCTAACGGCTTGTTCTGGAACCGCAGGCGGTTTTTGTTAAATCTTTGAAAGAGGCTAAATCAAGAGGGACTTTGCGGATCGCCGTGATTTTTGGTATATGGGTAGCGATAAGATTATGCAAATCATCTAATGTACGACTCTCTCCCCCTCCCCCTCTCTCTCTCAACGGAAGGATATTTGGAGACTGTTGCTATAACTACGAAGCCGTCTGTGGGGACGACGTAGCAGACGACGAAGCTCTCCCTGTCATACAGCAAGACTCCTGCAAGGGACGATGTTACATGGAGAACATTGTCAGGTACAACATGCTGCTTATGAAAGTGCAAAGCCTTTAGGTAATGTTGCAAACTATACGCCATGACAGCTAGCACATTCATCCAAGTTTTCACAACACACATTGGTTTTCCTTTGATTATAATACTTGTATACTATATGCAACTTCGCAATGTATAAAATAAAAAAAGTACACTATTTAATTATTCAAATACAGTATTCTTCTTTTCCCTTTCATCAGAGGTTTACTTTTGTCTCTATCTAGTGTCGATGTCGTGACGTGCAACTGCACGAGTTCCTGTAACACAACCCAAACATGTTGCGATGATTTTGAAGATGTCTGCCAAAGCGAAAAAGACGACGGGAACTGGACCAGCAGCAGCAACTGGACCACGGCAGCAGGAGGCAGTGAGGTATTAAAGTACAATTTATCCGACTGCAGTGCTCTAAACGAGCTGCCTAACATTGTTAGGTCTCCTGTTGGATACCTTTTTATACATTTATTTAGTTCAATCCTTTCAAATTATGGATCAACATACACATTGAAGGTACACATGTACTAGTGAGTGACCTCCGTCATTCAATGCGTTTTGGCATGGGAGCGAGAAGGTGTTTGCTCTCACGTGACTATGACATGGTCCGCCATGCTGGATGGTTGAATCAGGACGTTGCCATGTATGTTTCAATATGTAATTCTTATTCATGGCCTTACGCAAATATGAATTTGATTTACATGTCCAACCAGTGTGGCGGCCGTCGTTGACATGATCATGATGTGCAATTATATAATTAGTTTCTTGGTACACTTTTGACCGTTTTGTTCTTCTTGGACAGCCGCTGCAGTGCGTGGCCCCCTGGAGATCCCGTGCCCACTTCTGGATGGTGGCGAGTTGCCCGCCCGGCTACACAGACGACGTCGTCCGGGGGATGTGCGAGACTTCCGACGGGCACGTCGACATGTTTCTCCACGCTCCTGTCACCGACAACTCCACCGACACCAACTACAGAAACGTCTTCTGTGCCCTGTGTAACGACGCTAGGTACATGTTAGGCTGGAAAATGGTCGCCAAATGTGGCAGGCGCGTCCTTTCGCTAAAAGAAATTCTACAAAGAGACAAGGGTTGTCAGCAGTATTTCCGACCGTCAGGCTATTCCTCTGCGCGACTGTGCTTCCCTCCCCATACAACAGCTCCTAGTTCTAGTCCTGCCTGCGACGTCGAAAAGTGTCGAAACATCACCGCTCTCTTCTTTGCAAAAGGTGTACCCTTTAGGAACTCCGCCTGTGCAAATTGTTACGCAGATAGGGCATCTCTTTGGGAGGCTTCATGTACCGAAGACGACTTTGTATGGGCTGGCTTCTTCTCTACTATAACTGTCCTTTTCGACTACTCGAATATTTTCCAAAGCAAGATGTCGTCCAGAGAACTTGAGCTAAAGGACCATACAGAGTCGTGTTCGGTTGGATACATATATGACCCGTTTCGAGGCAGTTGCCGCCAAATTTCCCCCGATGCTCTGATGAAATTTAGCCAAGTTCCTGGTGTAGAAGAGACGAGAGCTTCTTTGGAAAATGATCCTGACAATGTTCGTAGTGCCCCAACCCCGAGTATCGTCACGGTAGATAGCACACCGACTCCACACACAGTTCTCCCAAAGCTAAGCGCTACATTCATTGTTGTCAACACTGTCACTGGTGCTTCTGCCTCCGTTTCTATCCTATCCCTCCTCTCCAGCCTTCGACACCACCCACGCCCTGACACTGTCGTGAAAATCTGTTTCCTGACTTCTCTTCTTCTGGCTCAGACCAGCCAAGTCGTGGGCCAGGTCGTTCCGTCAGCAGCCTGTTGCACAGCCATGTTGGTGTGCACGCTCTGTTTCTGCCTCGCCGCTGGTCTATCTCTCACTGCCACAATCCAACACCTGTCTATCCTACAGCGAGGTGGCACCTGTAAAGTAGCCGGCCATCTCTTAGTGATTTTGCTGATTCCGCTGGCAATGTCGGGAGGTTACATTGCACTGGATGACTCAATCCGCATGGGGGCGTCCCAGGAGTCCCACAGCTTTCCTCACTGTTGGATCCAAGACCCTACGAAAATGGCAATCTTTGTCGCCGCGCCCTTTCTGATCTGTACTGCAATCAACCTCTACTACCTGCTACGCATTGCCATGAGGTGCGCTGCCGCCGATTGCGTGCAGTACTTCTTTCTGACACAGGCGGCGCTGCTTTTTCTCCCATACACCATTGCCATGACCACTGGGATTCTCACGGCCTTCGTAGGTGTAGAGTCACTGCGCTCGTTTTTCCTGTACATGGTCACCTCTTTGGGTGGGATAGACGGGTTCCTTTTCTTGGTATTTTCGATTGTTGACGATGAGAACGACAATCCCAATGATTCCTCGCACGGCAACGCCCCGACTTTACCGATTCAAGCTGTATCTTCACTCAACTCTTCTACTAAATAAGATGAAACAAAATTTCAGCATACCCGATCGCGAGCATGGCTAATTAACGCTTGAAGTTCTTCTCTTTACTTGCACGTGTAAAAGGTAATATTGAAACTAGAAAGGCAACATTTGCAAAGCAAGTGCATAATGTTTACCTACGCATATGGTTACTCAAACACATTCATATATGATATGGTGACAGGAGTCTAAATCACTCCTGCCATAAAATTGCAACATGATTTGACCCAACACTAGTTACCATGGTGACAGACGTCTGGTTCAGGTCATTCACCTTGTTTGTTTGGAGAAAAGATGAAGAAGAGGTAGAAGAAACAGAGCAAACATAAAAAGAATACCTACCTATACCTAGCATGTAACACATACATCACTTATTTTCTCCCTTTAAGTCGACGTTTTAAAAGAAAGGTACCTGTCTTCAATTATTTATTGAAGGATGCTACTTTCAAGAATGCAAAGATACTATTTTTAAGATGCAGTGGAAAGAATTAATGTACTGTTTATATGTATTGTAGCTTTAGCTTGGATTTACGTAATTGTAATACTGTAAATACAACAGCACCATTTTAGACTCGTGACAGAATGCCATAGTGGTTTAAACGACACAGTACTAAAGCTTGACAATGTCATTTTCAGCTTTGTGTTTTTTATGGAATTTCCCGATTTTGTGCCTTGTGCCATTGACATTTATTGCAGCTGTGTGTTTGATGTGTTTTAGTTTATAAGAATATGACCTTGATCCTTAGATGTATTCCAAGTTGTCAATTTATGATAATAAATTGGTAGAATTTAGGCTCCAGTTTATAAAAGCAAGTTGAAACACTGTATTTACCCAGCACCACTAAAAGTAAACTTCAAAAACACATAAACGTGTACTTGAATGACATACATGTACCTGTGTACATATGCATGGAACCAATGTAAGATATCTTTTGTGTAATGTTTTTTTTTAATCTACGTCGTTTGTATTGCGTTTCTTCAATAGTAAATGTGCAAGCTAAGTAGATGTTCTACTTTTTCACATGAACTGCCATAGATAGTCTCATGCCATCACCAATGTAGCTTCTATCTGCTAGGGCTACCGTGTCTGGCTACCGGGTGTGCTCCCTCTTGATTTATCTGAGCAATATATCACTGGTCTCTACAAATGGAGCACCACCGGTCACGGGTTCCAATCCCGAGCCAGGACGACCACACATTTCGACAACCCCATTCCACATACATACAGTAATACAATCCACAATCAGATTGAACAGGACATCGAAATAAATGTATTCCATTGTAATGTGCGGTTGCATTGTGTACAACGTGGCCTGCCTGCACAACAATGGGTCATCTGTTCAGCTGTTATGGCTTAATGGTCTATTTTTGTCGCTATTGACGCAGTGCCGGCTCAGTAAGGGAGCGCAGCATACCAACCTCACCACGAGCCAGTAATTTATCATTAGTTATTGATTAACCTCCCTTAATTGTGCCGATCATCATTAGAGTCAGGCACGTCCAGATTAACTACCAGGCTTATCTGTCAATCACTATCAAGAAATGTAACGGTCAAAACCGTTCACAAAGGACAGAAACTTCTCAAAATGTTCTTGTTTTTTTTGTATGGCCAGAAACGATCGTTAATTGGGATAAACGATCCGATCGCATGACCTGTGCGGATTTTTTGTTGACATTATCGGGGGGGCTGTCCTCCCCTCCCAGCTGATTCGGTAGTGGACCGGGCCGGGTGGATTTGCATAGCGGGCTGAAGTATTGTGTGCTCGGAGTTAGGGTGTGGCAGGTTCATACGCAGGTCTATCTACGATACACACAGGGTTTCGTCATTCTCAAACTGCTGGCGGTTTGGATCAAGACAACACCATGGAGAAACTTGCAGCTTTTATTCTGGTCGTACTGTGCTGTACGTTCGTCGAGGTACAAACTGCAACGACGCCAGCCCCTACAACAATAGCACCAAATACAACAACGACTGCTGCTGCGACAACTAACGGTACGGTTACTCCTAATCCTTAAAGTTTTCTCCGTTGTTGACTTAAAGAAGTGGCTTAGGCAACCTGCTAGGAGGAGAGTGGTCTTAGCTACGCCAGCTTGGCGACTGTGTCCAAGTTAATCCGTCTGAGTTTGGAGAAAGATTGGAGTTTGAGTGAGGGAGGGTGGGGGGTCTGGCACACAGGGCAGGCGGCGTGGCGTGGTAGCCGGCCCGGCAGACGCTAAGGGCGAGCACGGGGGGCATGTGGCTAACCCCGCTAGCAGCCTGGGACGGTAGCTCCATGCTGACAGACACGACGGCTTGGTTTAGATCACGGATCTGACTTTGTTATGGGAGTAACAAGATTGCATGACGAGGGGAGCTCACCCGGGGAAAGTTTGGCCGGCCGGAGGTAACTTTACCTGTGTGTGCGTGACACCTGGAGAGGGCCGCACCCGGAAGTAAAAATATTAATATTTTGCTAGTAGTTGGGATATCGGCATATTTTATTGGTTTATCAAAGACGTGAGAAAAATCATTTTTCAAAAATCCTGTGTGCATTTGATCAATATAAATCAAAAGGACTGAGAAATGGGTTGTTTACTATATACAGAATGTAATGACTGTAAGCTTAATGTACAATGTAGTTTACAATGTAACTGCAACTGTATAATGTAGATGTATAACGTTAGTGTTTTTTAAATTATCAACATTTTTCTTGCAACAGTTTAAAATCTTGGAGATGATGAAAACACTGAAAAATGCTTCTAAAATTGCATACCTATACACGTTACATACATTTTAGTGCACTAAACTTGACAATTGAAAAATTGATATATTCGTAAATTTGACAATTAGGATTTTTACAACTGTATTGCATTTAGTGATCTAGTGGGTAGTGGTTGCATGTTTGGATCACGAGGTCATGGGTTCAAATCCTTTGAGCATTTCATACTCCTTGGTCCAGCTTAGCCCAGGTATTGAGGATTGTAACCTTTTGGGTGGAGCTCTAAACTGTCAGTCCCATGTTTAAATGGTCACACCTTAAACATAAAAATAAGACGTTTGTTTGCCTTTGCAATAAAGGAGTAATGGCAAAAAGGTTTTATGTTCAGTTTCGTAAAGTGTTGTAAAAAATTTGATTGCATCTTTCAGTAATTTTTTATTGAGTTATTGACAATATCGAGTAATAAAGGGATGTGAAATTGTTCTGCTGTTTTTTTAATTTTTTTTTATAAGAACTGAAACAAAAGGCTGGAGATGTAAGCATGTTTTGATCCTGTGGTAAAAATCTGCAACTAAACAGCTGCAAAAGTCTGTTATGTACAACCTTGGTTTGGTGACAGGGTGATAAAAATAGTCCACTAAAGGCTACTACAGGGAATCCTGGGAATAAAATCTCACGGTTGTTGGAGAGAGGGGCAGAACTAAAAATAAAGATGCTGAATTTGCATATTTTTGTATGATAATTTAGTATTTCTTATATGTAGGACCTCATCTTACATGTGACTTTTGGTGCCTAATTTTAGACTTGCCTAAAATTATACAATACAATTGTATTATTTAGCTGAGCTGCATTGTTCTTTTAGTGTATCTTTGTACCAATATGTCAATAAACCAATTTATAGATTAGTCTTCCAATTTCCTTACACAGAAGAAACTCAAAACACCTACACCCATTTTAGAAAAACCCAAGTCCGCATACCCGTGCACTGATTCATCTGAAAGGTGATTTATACAGGTTCAGACAGGTGTCATGACAGGTGCATTTGTTCTGCGGTGTGCCACTATTGTGATGTGATGAGGTGGAAGTTACAGCCATTATCTGTGCTGTAGTCCAGTTTTGTGGGTTGATCACTGGAGGATGGAATAATGTGTCTCAATGTCAGACAAGGCCACACCAATTTTATCAATTAGTTCTCGGATTCACCCGCTTTGTTTTTTCAAGGAGGTTCCCTTTTAACTCCATGATTTTTTTCTGATCTAAAAAAAATTCAGATTCTGAGTCAACTCCAAAGTGCTTACATTTTAGCCAACAGTGAAGAAAGTCCCTTATACAATAGGTTTACGTTTTAGTGTAAATGAAAGTTGTTTCTTAAAAAATTCTTGTTGTGCATGGCAGTCGTCCCACCCAACCCCAAAAGTAAAAGCAAATGGTTATTCAGTAACCATTTTTACCATTTACAAATATGTGACAGCTGCCAACTTAAAAGCCTTCTACATTCAAAGTGTAATAAACATCTTTTTGTTGACTTCCTTTTGGAATAGCCCCCTTGCTAAGCTATATGTGAATGTACCCAGTTGAATAAAGATAGTTTCAGGTAGAATTTGAAGACCTTTGCAAACATTGATCAAATAAGTGACGTTAGTGTTTCCTGCGGTGTCATAGTTACAGTTTAAGTATGGTGTGGCCAATCGGCATGTTTGCTTTAATCAGCTTATTGCTGGGGTGGAACGTAGAGTGGTTCAATTATTTCCTGTAAGGAATGTCTTGCTACATGTATGTTCAGTTTGGTCATCAAGCCCCATATGAATATTTGTTGTGCAAAAGTTCTGTGTGAGAATAATTTTTTGTGTTGCACAAGAGGAAAAAATAGGAACTAGGAAACTGATCGTGTAAGGTCATATAAGGTCAAAATGTTTCTTTTTCTTTTCATTGGCCTGTTTAAAGATTAACCGTAATGTTTCAACCGTCTGTGTTGTTGATTAAACTGGGCAAAAACATACATGTCAGAGGGTATTGCAGTAGGGATTCAGAGAAATAAGCTGTCCAATAAATTTGGCAAAGAATTATAACTGTACTAGCAGAACTACAATGTAACATTCTGGAGATTTTGCAAGAATATCATATTGAGCATTATCGGTGGATTTAATGTGAAAAAGAAATGGAATGATATATTTTCACCAAGATCCTCTCTATTTCCTATGAATTTTCTATATGTCCCCATGTATATCTACAGTTTTAGTAAACTTTTACACTTCACTGTACACGGACTCAGTCCTTATATTATATTAAATATTTAAAGTCCTTGACTGTTCACATAGCAGATGAATATTTATGACTCAGTGTTTTAGTGTTTGTTTACTATCATATGACCTGTCCAGGACATCCGGGCTGAAAAATCCACACAAAAGAAGCATTCCAAGATTCTCACTAAAAAAAGCAATTGTCAAACTTAAAAAAATGTTTTTGAAAAAAGCTAAGCCCTATTAAAGAGAAACATGATATTTTTCATTTGATACCTCACAAAAATTAGCATCCAAACAACTACAAAGTGTACCGACTGCATTTGGTCTGACTGCTCCCTTTTTCCCTCGTGAAGAATTTGGCGTAACGTGCATGTCCAATTTTTCACCTCCCTTCACACAATGGCAATAGTGTGCTTGAGTTGCTCAACATGGTGGACTTGTATTAAGTTACACCATGTATTGTCTAGGACTGGAAGACCTTTTTGTTGTACTTGACCTGACAACTTTGGTCAAGAGCTATATCCATGTCAAGAAAGAATTCCCTTAACTAAGTTTGGTTCAGGTTATGTCAGCTAAACAAATTATAATTCTCATGCAGTTTGAAATGTCAAAAGAAACAAAATCCTGAAGTTCCCACTGCCCTTTACTGCCAAGTTAGTGCCAACTGATTGTACTTGGAAGCATTTTCCAGAGTGAATGTCAGCATCTATAAGCAGGTAATATAAATAGGAACAATCTAGTAAATGATGTTTATAATGTTACCTACTTTGCTAATAGTCCAATTAGTGTTTATATATACCTTTAGAAGCAAATTTTGGACTGTACATATAACTTGTGATTTCAGGGTCTTTTCTAGAAAAATTTAGCATGAGGGAGCAGATCGCAAGCATGACAAGGAACGAAGTGACCGAGAGGGGATTTTTTAAAAAGAGTAGCCACTTAGGGTTCAATCTGAAAATTGGTATGAGGGAGCTGGCTGGTTACATGAGGGAGCAGCTCCCTTATTCCCCTGTTTAGAAAAAACCCTGGATTTGAATGGTTGATTCATAATCTAAGAGTGAAAGATCCTGGATTTCAGTCCCTAACATAGCCCAATGTTGTGCCTTTGGGAAAGAAAGTTAACTTTTTCTCACTATACTAGTACTCAGGTGGAAATGAGATTTAAGGCATGAGTTCGGTACTTAGTAGTTTATATCATTACATTCCCCAACTATGTTGGAAAATGGTTTCAAACTGTCATTTACATACATAATTGTTTGCGAAACAATATTGTGTACATGAGTCATGGTAAGTTTATTTCGTGGTATCAAAGGGCGTCACTGTTGGGCAATGTTTACCAAACAGGTGTGGACGCTTATCATTAACGTCAACCAGGGTCAGACCTGTACCATCGATTTATAGGGGTGTTCCTCCAAATTTTCTTCTTTTTTTTTTTAAACATTATATTATACATGTTGTTAATGAAGATATACTTTATGCTTCTATGGTAAAGATTTAAAATCTAATGCTTTTTTTTGTGGGTCTGATACAAAGTTTGAACATTTGTGCAGTGTTTTCCATAGAATGGTCAAGGTGAATGCATAATATAGCCTTCAAGTTTCAAAGTTAAATGAGTAATTAAACTTGACAACAGTGGAATGTTGATGGGCCATTGAAGTAGCATACTTCAGATTCATTTATTTTCAAGGTAGGTGGCTACAATGGGAAAGGAGGCTTTTGTCTTGTTTTCAGTTCACAGTTGAAACAATTCTGTACTAGTTGTAGTAGTACAGTACAGGACATTTTCAAACAATTCATCAGGAGAATGGTACAAAACAAATGCCAAAGTTCAATCATTGATTTTTCAAGAAATTTGTCCTGTTCCTGTTTTATATTTATTTAGTAGCCACTATTTTGTAAATATTCCACCTCTTTTTGTTCATATTGTATCTGTTGTGTATACCGACAGGCGGGTGATTTCTAATGATGATGTATTTTCTATCTCAGCTACAGGGACAAATACTACTACAGCTATGGGAACTACAGTAGTGACAACAGTCCAACAGGTAAACATGTTACTGATCTCCCTGAACTATTCCATATGGTCTTGAACTTCTAAGGAAACCAGAAGTGTCTATCACTCAGTGATTACCAATGCTGTATTTAGTAATGTCAGAAAAAATTCAAATTTTTTTAAGTAGCACTCTTAGGGTAGAGCCCAGTGAAATCATAGGAGTCAACGTTTAGGCTATAAATCTGATATCTGTGAGAGAACTATATTGGATAGAACCTTAAAACTATGATAAAAGTTTTTAGTTTCTCAAATTACAGTTGACTAAGATCTTCATGAATTATAAGTCGGTCCTCAGACATGGCACTTTTGGTTTAGACATGAAGGGCTTTCAAATTTATAATTTGCTAGGCTAAGCTCAATTTTTTTTATTACATTGTGTACATGTATTTAAACACGTTCCTGTTTTACTTTACATTATTAATGTATATTATGCCTAGAGTAAAATGTATATCCAATTTTGCACAAGATAACTGTATGATTTTGTTTTGCTTCCTTCAGATGACCACAGCAGCACCTGCAGGTAACTTTTCTGTGTTACTGTTATACATACATAATTATATAAGTATCTATTGACATTGTACTGTAATGATACTGATACATGTACATGTAGATAGGTAGCAGATTGATATTCTGTCCACTATTGTGGCAATTCTCATATAAATAAGTCATAAGTAACACGAAACATATTTTTCAAATCTATGGACATATTTGTCAGATTGTCATAAAATATTTTTATAACTTATTCATCATAGTACATGTATATATTTTTGTATGTAAAATGTGTACAATGTATCCTACAAATTTGTTACATCATTTCACATGTTAGGATAAGTACTAGGTTTTTATAGCAGCTGATTTTTTTATGAAAGTAGCAGCATGACGATCCATTTGTGACTCATTTTATCTATTTATTCATGCATTGATGGATTTCCTGATTTGTCATTAGCTGGCGCCACAACTACTGCAAATGCTACAGCTGCAAATACTACAGCTGCAGCTACAACAGCTGCAGCTACAACAGCTGCAGCTACAACAGCTGCAGCCACAACAGCTGCAGCCACAACAGCTGCAGCTACAACAGCTGCAAATACTACAGCAGCTGCAAATACTACAGCTGCAATGCCGACACCTGCAGCAGCAACTACAGCTGCAGGTGCAACTACAGCTGCTCCTGCAACAAACACCACAGCCGCAGCTGCCACGACCAAACAAACCACTGTCATGGCGTCAACCGCACCCGTTATCACAACTACAGGTCTGTTGTCTGAATTATCATCTACATGCATGTAGCTTCAGTCAAAATTGCCCCCAAGAAAACCCTGCTATTGTAGTTGACAATCACATCTTTTGATCAATGTTCTAATCTTCTCCTGTGCAAATAAGTTTTGTTCTTTGTTGACAGAGGTGGACTTGTGCTTGACTGATCCCTGTCAGCATGGAGGTAACTGTTCAAGGGTTCCCGGTGGATACATGTGTAACTGCACTGGGACTGGATACATGGGGAAAAACTGCACCGAAGGTGAGGGATTTGATTTTTTTCCATTTGTTGATTGCAACAAGTTTGGAATTATTTCTTTATTAATTATACCAAAGGAGTGATATTAGTTTTTGCCTAATTTCTGTGTCTCTCTGTGTACTGTATGTGTGTGTAAATATATAATATCATAAGTAAATATATATTTTCTTATTAATGGTAAAACTGCCTTGATGAATTCATGAAAGAAACATCATGAAAGACATGTATCTATACTGACGTCTTGACATGTCATGAAAGTTATTAAAGTATTGTTAAATTTACATTTGCCGTTATTTGTTTCCCACAGACGTTAACGAGTGTGATTCAGGTGACCACATGTGTGACGGCAACGCCACCTGCACCAACACTGTGGGAAGTTATACGTGTGCCTGTAATGATGGTTACCAAGGAGATGGGACGAACTGCACAGGTAAGTTTACTTCAGGGTCAATGGCCCATATTGACAAACACATACACATATACACACAACTCTAAAAAACATTACTATATTTATAGTTGATTGTATACCTAGAAAAGAATAGGACCAGCAAGCTGCCATAACACAGGGAGGCTCCCTTACCAAGGATGGACTAGTCAATAGTCGTTGGCCAGAACAAGAATTACTAGTACATACAGTTTAAGCTTTAGTTTAACCAGTACTTCTTGTAAAATTTTTAGAACCAATAGGCTTCTTTGTGTTTTGAAGATTGTCCCAGTCTGTTGTAAATAATTATTGATTGACTTTACACTTTTTCAGACATCAATGAATGCAATGAAATGCACAATTGCCACCCCATGGCTACCTGTCATAATGTGCCTGGGTCATACCATTGTGACTGCAATGAGGGGCAGAAAGGCAACGGCACATTTTGTGAAGGTGAACAATATCTACATTTCGTCAGCTTACTGTCAGAAAGTTTTGTAAAGTCTTGTAGGAAAGACTTGATGTTGTAAGTAGACAATCTACATGTAGATCTTCCAAAATAGATTAGCACATTGTGACTTGACAGAAGAAACTCTGAAAAAATGATTTTTTTCTTACCATTGGATGATTGTGTACTTGAAATGTGTTTATTGTTTCTTTGTTTGTTTGCAGATGTTGACGAGTGTGCCTTTGGGATTGATGCCTGTCACGAGCATGCAAATTGCAGTAATACAGATGGGAACTACACCTGTACCTGTATCGCTGGTCACGTGGGGGATGGTTTTAACTGCACAGGTGAGTTTGGGCAGAGCAACTGTATGTAAAATCAACTTGTCCTATTGTTTCGAGGTTACAAATAATTCAATAGTATACTTTAATACTTCATCATTCAAATGTAATGGAGAAATTCGTGTTAAACTTTGCACAATTATAATGCAATTAAATCCGCAATGTATAGTTTTTGTAAGAAGGACATGTTTTCAGAAATTTTGAGGCAATGTTGACATTCTGACAGAAAAATACTGGACATTATCAGCAAAAATAGGATGTTCAAAAAGCCAGAATGCATATATCCAGTGGGAATGTTGGTTTGAAAATAGTCAATGACAAACAGACATTGTATGAAAGTTTTGATTTGTGGAAAAATTTTTGAATACCTGTCTGCAGATGTTGACGAGTGCTCTACTGACACTGACGACTGCCATGACCATGCTAACTGTGTAAACACTGAGGGGAGCTTCACCTGTGAGTGTAAAGACGGGTACACCAGGAATGGCACAGAGTGTGTAGGTAGGTAACCTCTACTAAAGGTATTCAATGCGATTTCAGGGCAGCAATACAAAAAAAATATTCTGGATGAGGAAATCTGTCTGGTATTAACGTTTACTAACATTTCTTTGCACCTTTTTGTCATCATTTGAACGTGCGTGTTTTCCTGTATGTTATGGTCTGAATTATTGAGTTTTTGTTCCCTACAGATATTGATGAGTGCTTCCTTGGTTCGGACACGTGCCAGTATTTCTGTGACAACACAGAAGGCTCATACACATGCAGGTGTCCTGATGGTTACATACTTCAATCCGACAACTCAACATGCATGCTTAACGGTGAGTCTCCTGGATATAATACTTTTTGGGGGGGGAGTACAATCAGAATTGATCAAGTAGAAGTCATTAATAAGGTGATACTTGTTAGGAAGGCTGTGCACTTGTGCATGTATGTCACAGTTGAAGTACATCTTGCAATAGCTGTTTAAGTCTACTAAAATGATGAAATGTAGATATTTGAAAGGAAAAAGTATGAACCAAGAATGCTATAAGAGTACAGGAGGTTGATACAGTAAGACAAAAGCCTCACTAGGGCTTCCCATGTCTTCAGCCAACTGATGTGTCTGGAAAAGAGTGAAGAGTTGAGCAACTTATGTCGTACAGCATCCATCCATTGGGATGAAGAGACTAATGTTTTGACTTGTGTTTTGGTCACAGCGTCCTTTACATGCGGGGCTACATGTAACGACCCAGCTTACTGTGTGGTTGGAAATAGCAGCACATGTGCCTGTCCACCGGGGTATGTCCTGGAGAGTTTAGTCAACTGCGAAGGTAGGTCATCGACCTTTCTCCGTCAATAGAAAACAACTTTCTTTTCACATCAGTGATCTTATTGTCTCTGTGTATGGAGGTGTTGTTTTGGGCCACCGGGATCCGGGAGTGATTGCATGTGTGTGTGCTTGCATGTTTGTAGAAATTTGAATGCAGTAGACTAGCAGGCAGGGGGTGAAGAGATTTGGTAACTGCAGATTGACCTTAAGGTCAAGTTGTAGTTTTAATGGTCTCCTTACAGGCTGGGAGGAAGTGACTCACACAGTTACTGCAAGCCAGAGGAGTCCTACTGTACATACAGTTATCTTTTTCTTTTCAGATATTGATGAGTGTTCGAACAGTACGCTTAACAATTGCGACCCTCTCAGTGGTACATGTGTGAATACGGACGGAGGGTACAGCTGCGAATGTGATGCTGGTTTTACTCTACAGGCCGATGGGACAACTTGTCAAGGTCAGTTTATTTTTTTTTTACTGTTTTTAGGTTACCCATCATTTTCTAGTTTTTTCTGTCAAAATTTGTCCTTAAGAATCCCCTGTTCAAGAAAACTTTCCTCTTTGTGGTTGCAGACAACAATGAATGTACAGATCTCTGCAAAAATGGAGACTGTGTCAACACACCCGGCAGTTTTAACTGTACCTGCCACACTGGCTATAAATACAACCCAACAACACAGAACTGTGAAGGTGAGAATTGTTCTGTAAGAATTTTGCAATGAGTCACATTTTGTATTAAAGTTAGAACAAAAGTATATCTTGTATATCCCTGCATACATGTGTTATTATGTTTATTCCTTTGCTTTTTAACACTGGATAGCCTTCTGTGTAGGTAGCATTATAATAGGAAAAAATTGAAAAATTGTATAATCGATAATTTCTGTGTGTTTTAGTGTGAACCAAGTTTTTTCTCCACTTTCCTTTTCATAGATGTGAATGAGTGTGAGGAGCAGACAGTAACCTGTGGTGAGAACCAGAAATGTGAGAATCTGGTGGGGAACTTCACCTGTCAGTGTCTACAGGGATTCTACGAGAAGGGGCAGAACTGTTTCAAAGGTAAGAAAAAATAGATCATTTGCTATGAAAACTGAACTGTAATTAGAGCAAGAGGTTGTCTCTTCCCAGTATGCAATCATGCCTGTCCCTGATGCTGAACACCATCCACACACAGGCAAACTTGCCCGACCTTGGTGCTGAACACCATCCACACACAGGCAAACCTGTCCTTGGTGCTGAACACTCCAAACACAGGCAAACATGCCTGTCCTTGCTGCTGAACACTATTCACACACAGGCAAACATGCCTGTCCTTGCTGCTGAACACTATTCACACACAGGCAAACATACCTGTTCTTGGTGCTGAGCACTATCCACACACAGGCAAACTTTCCTGTCCTTGGTGCTGAGCACTATCCACACACAGGCAAACATTCCTGTTCTTGGTGCTGAGCACTATCCACACACAGGCAAACTTTCCTGTCCCTGTTGCAGTATAACTTTGATGTAGGAACCGTTTGATGATTATTTAAGTTAATCATTCATTCGTTCTATCTTCTCTTCAGCAACAAAAACCTTTGCTGGAAAGATTGAGTTTGAAGACACCTATACAACTGAACTAGCTGACCCTGGCACAGCAGCTTTCAGAACCATGGCAGGCAGGGTTCAGACAGAGGTTAGTACCATACAAGCTTCTCACATCGGTGCTACAGTTCAGCAGCACTGCGCGCATGCTGTAAGACTATAGTGTATGGGCTTGATTTTGAGATATGAGACTACATGTATATTGATATAAAACACACTTAATCCAAAGTTTATTGTATGGAATGAAGTGAGCTATGATTTTTTGTTTAAAACGTATTTGTAACATTGATATTTTAACAATTTTTCCAACCAGCTCAGCACAACATATCTGCTGTTTTTTTCTTCTTTTTTTAAGCTTAAAAAAGTCTTTGAGCAACAACACCCAACTACTTTTAAGGAGGTTCAAGTGACTGCTCTAAGGTTTGTGGATTGGATATTATATTTGATTTCAATGGAACATGACAGTATGCTGGCTTTTATACAGCTTCTTCATTGACTTTTGCCAATGTATGGTTTTACATAATATTTCCTATTTGTATGCTAAGTAAGCCCCGAAACATCATGTAAATGTATATCATTGTGAACGTCTGTTTTTTTGCTTGTTTTCAAATGACTCGTAAATAGACATGTAAAGACACAAGTTACTGGTTGTCTGCTAGTTGTTCAGAATCTGTACTGCATGTACTGGTATAGTCACTAGACCATGTACAATGTAATACTAGTACTGTAACTGTACAACTAAACAGGTAATATTGGATGCTACTTTGAGGCACATGACTCAAGGAAGAGCCCTTGATGAAGTATATTATGAAGAAAGACAAATCCGAAGAGCTAAGTCCTTACAATAACATGTTTCGCCCATAGTCCAGGCAGTGTAGTTGCTGACTATGACTTGCTGTTTGCTGTATCACCTGGAGAAGCAGACACCTCTCTGTCCTCTGCACACTTGAACACAGAACTAAAGAACATACTGGAACAGAGCTGTGCTACAAATGCTGACGGTGAGAGGATTTGTCAGCTTGGAGCATTGAGTGGAGTTCCTCTTGCAAAAGCTGGAATTGAAGGTAAGACATGAATACTTTTTAGTTAGAATATTGTACATAACTCTTGTTATGATAGTTGTTATATTTTGCTCTATGCTAGGTTTTATGTAAAACCATGTATGTGGAAAGATATACATGTAATACATGTACATGTATATAGACTTTGTGTGAGTATGTACTTGTGTGATGGGATCCAATCGTTTGTACCAGTTTGGCCCAAGAATGTGAAGGCGAGGTCAGTCTAGAGTGGATTCTAGAGAGGGAGGTCCTGGTGGTGGCTGTCTTAGGATAGGAAGTTGATTAAACAGTTCAAGTTCGGACTCTGTGACTCGGCTCATCCTCTGACACGTGGCGCAAGAAGTGGGATCGTAATCTACCGAAGTAACCACCAGTAAGTGGAGACCCCGTCCGGAAAACCTGACCTGACACTCGAAGATCCTGACACTGAACCATAATAGAGCTATACAAGGACAGACCCGGAAGGACAATCGGAACTTGTGCTGTGTGTTACCACGGGAAGAGTCAACCGTGAGTTGGACGGACTGTTTATATGGATTTTTGAAGTGGGTGTCATTCCAGAGAAGTTAAATTGTGTAAACAAGGGGCCCCGGGAGTGTATGCAGTCTTAAGTGAAACCACATGTGCCCAACGTTATCTGTGTGCATCCATTGTATGGGACTCCTCAGTCACATTCCAGACAGACCCCCGGCAGGCCAGACGGGCCGATTCAAGTCAGTAAACTGGAGCACGGTAGTACCAAAACAAGTCAGTAGCCGTTGCTGAAAGGAAAAGAAATGGAGGGATATATCGAAGCAGGGGAAAAGATGGGGCTAGAAGGAGAAGTACTGCATAAGTTTGTGCAGCAGGCCCTGGAGAGGGACGAGAGAGTTAAGGAGAGGGAAGCACAGAGAGTAGAGGCAGCGAAAAGAGAGAAAGAGCTGGAGCTCGAGAGCCAGAAGCTAGAAGCCGAAGCCAAGACAGAGACTGAACTCGAGAAGATGAGGGTTCAGGCCGCAGAGAGAGACAAGGAGAGACAAGAGAAAGAGAGAGAACGACAGATGGAGATGGAGAAGATGAAGTGGGAAGCAGAGGAAAGAGAGAAAGGGAAAGAAAGGGAACGACAGATGGAGATGGAGAAGATGAAGTGGGAAGCAGAAGAAAGAGAGAAAGAGAAAGAAAGGGAACGACAGATGGAGATGGAGAAGATGAAGTGGGAAGCAGAAGAAAGAGAGAAAGAAAGGCAGGAGAAGGAGGCGGAACGGCGACACCAGCTGGAGATGAGGCGGTACGGGCCAGAGAGAGGCGCATTAGAGGAAATGGAAAGTGCTCGGGCGAAAGCTCCCAAGCTCCCGGCGTTTGTCGACGGGAAGGACGAAGTAGATGCCTTCCTTCAGAGGTTTGAAAGATTTGCCAGCTCCAATGGCTGGAGGGAGGAGGTCTGGGCCTCCAACTTAAGCGCGCTGTTAACTGGGAAGGCGCTGGAAGTATATTCTAGGCTCAGTAACGAAGACGCCCAGGACTACGACAAAGTGAAGGTGGCATTGTTGAAACGTTACAATCTAACTGAGGATGGCTTCCGCAACAAGTTCCGACAGAACAAGCCGGACAAAGGGGAAAGTCCAGAGCAGTTCCTGGTACGCCTGACCAGTTACCTTGACCGATGGGTGGAGTTATCCAAGACGACGAAGGATTACGAGTCGCTTCGTGATCTGTTTGTGAAAGAGCAGTTTATGGATGCCTGCCCGCCAGACCTGGCAATACACCTCAGGGAGCGAAATCCAGATAGCCTGGTGGAGCTGGCAGAGATGGCTCAACATTATCTGACCGCCCACAAGAGAGAGCTCAGCAAGGAGGAAGAAGAAAAGGAGAAGAAGGCAACTCAAAGCCGCAACCGCACACAACCTTGGACGGCGCGCGGGGGTAGCACTAGTTCCTGTTACACATGCGGTGACCCTGGCCACTTTGCAAGGGACTGCCCTGTATCTAAGGAGACGCGACCCACCGAGGCTAACTCCTTCTTCACCAGTACAGGAGAGAAGGCCGGGCAACAGGCAACCTTCATCGTCGCAGGCCAAGTGGAGGGAAAGAAGGTCCCGTTGCTGTTGGACACTGGCAGTACACAGACGCTGATCAGAGAGGACCTGGTGGATCCGACAAAAATCGCACATGGACAATCAAGGCGGCATTACTTGCATTCATGGCGATGAAAGGAAGTACCCGACTGCACAAGTAGAGGTCCAGATAGGACACAGAAGCTACAAGATAAATGCGAAAGTGACCCCAAACCTCCCACACCCCGCTATACTCGGACGGGATGTTCCCCATCTTGCCGAACTGGTACAGCAGTGTGCATCTGGAAGGCTGGCACGGGAGTCGCTCGTGGCTACGAGGGCTCAAACACGCAAGGCAGCTCAGGGGTTTATCGGCTTACAGAAAGCAATGCAGCAATCTGGAGTTCAACCGCGGCAATTCTTGTCAACATTCGGTCGTTATAGTAATGGTTATGGTCGTGGCGGCACCAAGTCGTACAACTTTGCCGGCTATAGACCAAAACTGCGCCTGGCTGCACGTACCAAACCCTTTGGGAGCCCTCATCTCCCAGCACCAGGGAAGTCCCAGAGGCGCATCTTTGGTGGTGCCAAACCGGTGGACACGGCAGCGAGGGAGCGCGTGATTGAGGAGAAGCTGTCACTACAGAAGGTCGGGGGATGGAGGCAGTCCGGGAAAGGGCAGTGCCAATGCCGATGCACTGTCTTGAGCTGGAGACAATAGAACTCTACTACCATTACTAGTAGTGTTACGTTAGGTCACGCCTGGTTATAGGGTGCTTAAAACTTTTCCCGTATGTAGAGCTCTAGAGCACAAACATAGGAGTTGTTGCTGTTACTAATGGTTCAGTAGTTGGAACACTTTGTAGTCAAGTTATTTTGTTCCTGTGAACATTATTAAGAGTTAGCGATGTCTCCTCCGGAAAGGACTGATGACTACGGAGACTCTAGTGAAGTGAGATATATTTGAGATACATGCCCAAGTAGTATCCGTTTCCTTTTTTTATAGCTTTGTATAATGCATGTAAACCACAGGACCAGTATTACGACAATGTAAATTATGACTAATGAGAACCTAGAGTTTAGAATGGTGATTGAAAGGAGTTTTTCAATCAGAAGAAACGGGAGCGAATGTGATGGGATCCAATCGTTTGTACCAGTTTGGCCCAAGAATGTGAAGGCGAGGTCAGTCTAGAGTGGATTCTAGAGAGGGAGGTCCTGGTGGTGGCTGTCTTAGGATAGGAAGTTGATTAAACAGTTCAAGTTCGGACTCTGTGACTCGGCTCATCCTCTGACAACTTGGTATGATATGATTTCAATCATGTCACCTAGGCCTGGCATGTAACGTTATCTTGTTCTCTGGCAGTTTTGATTGTACAGTGTTTCAGCTGGCATTACTGTCGCTGGACTATATATCATGGTATGTAGATGTGGGCCTAGGTACTTGTACTTGTTGAGGTCTCCTCGAGTCAGTCGTTTGAGTGGCCTGCGCACAGAACTCGTCTCTTCCTCAACAGTCCTCTCCACTTCTTCCTGTCTTTTGCTAATTCCTTTAGCTCTTCTAGACTGGTACTAGGCCTCCCAGTACCATGCCTCATGTCCTCATACCATGCACCATACTCGTAATGTTTTTTCTAACAACAGATCTGAACGAGTGTGCGTCCCCGGAGAGCTACCAGTGCCCTGCCAACACAGACTGTGTGAATATTGATGGCGGGTATCGCTGTTTGTGTTCCGACGGATTCCAGGTTGACCCTGATGTACCGTCCATCGATGGAAAAGAGTTCTGCACAGGTAACCATGCACAGCGCCTACGTCAATATCATTCATGATATGTATTAAAAGGTTTACATTCATTAATGTTCCAAAAGGTATTAGGAGGTGATTGCAAATCTTGTATTTACTTAATGTCTATATTATGAAATCTGTGTTCCAAGAAGAATTGTCTGTTTGTTTAGGATGATGAAAGTCAGCAGATTCTATCTGACATGTCTGACACCTCAGATAATTTATCCAGTTGCTTGCTTTATTTGTTTAATGTTTGTATTTTGCAAAGTTCTCCCTTAAAATCTTATAACTTTCATTGATATGTGCCTCATCAAAGTACAAATGTATCACCAAAACCAAACTTTAAAGATGAATCCCTATAATTATATAATATACATAATTTTTATTCATATCTGGCATTAAAGGTTTAAATACCACTACTGTCTAGCAAGTTTTGATAATTCCTTCCCTATTTTAGCGCTGGACTCATGTAGACCCAATCCCTGTCAGGGCAATAAGTACTGCTCTCTGAAGGATGACGGAACTCATGAATGCAAAGGTGGGTGTGCTTTTTTTTTGTACTTTCTCCATCCAATTTCAAGTTAGAATCTATGTTGATATTGTTGATATGCTACTGCAGAAAGTGTTTTTTGTGAAATTATTGTGATGGTCTTATTTTTGCATCTGTCATGTTGGCCTATTACCACAATATCGTAACACTGTAAACATGTCTTTTGTACCTCTACTGAACTACAGAAATGTCATTTTTACCCACAGATTGTCCGTGCCTGAATGGAGGAGTCTGTGTGTCGACCACCATGGCCAACAATTACTACTACTCCTGCAGGTTGGTGTTTATTAGTTGTTTTAGTAAACAAAACATTGAATGGATGACTGGGTGTGTGGGTGGTGGGATACTCCAAAACCTACCTTTTCAATAACAATATGTATTATATATATGAATGTAGCTGTACATGTACATGGTTTCCTTGTCTGACTTACACTGATGCACCTGTCCATGTTGTCTGTTTTTTTTATTTTTGTTTACTTGTTTGTTTTGTAGGTGTCCGGGAGGTTACTCAGGAGATGACTGTGGAAGCCAAACAGGTGAAGAAAATCAGTTTAGGATAATTTTTCACTTGTGTATTAGGCAATGTATTAATTATGTTTTACTGGAACCATCACACTTTCTGATGTTGTTGTCAGATGCATCATGTATTGGTCATTTACTGTATGTCGCAACAGATAAGTGTATGTTAGTCAATGGTCAAAGTACATGCATGTGACAGTCTAGGATCATATTTTCATAACATACTTTTGTCAACCTACATTTGGCATTATTACTGTCAAAGTATGTGTATGTGACAGTCTGGGACCATATATTCATAACATTACATTTTTACAAACTTACATTTGGGCCTACATTTAGTAATTAATTCTTCTCCTTTAAGTTGATCATCTTGTGGTCTCTTGCCAGTGTTCTTCATCATGTTATAGTTTTGTCAAGTTACGTTTGGGCATACATTTAGTGATTACCAGTCAATGTGTGCTTGAAGTTAATTGTTTTGTCTCCCCCCCCCCCCAGTGTTCTTCATCACCACTATTGCCTGTGCGGCTGGGGCGGGGCTGTTCCTGATCATCCTGATCATCGTGGCCGTCTGCACCTGCTGCAGGTGAGAGGCACCTGGGAGACGGGAGGGAGTCACAGTATATCTAGAAGTACTAGTATAAGAGAATGGCTGCAAGCAACTACTGCTGTGTGTCATTTTGTCCATCAGTTTTTAATGTCCTCATTGTATATACAATGTATTTGAAGGGTTAATATTGCTACGGGTTGACTTGGCTATGATATTTGGGTATTATGTGATGGCAAGTAAGTATGGGACCACGTGGAACTTTCTTTGATGAAGGTTAAATAAGAGGGAAGGTTATTTGTTTATCAGCATATAGTCTAATATAAAATCACATTATATTGGGAAGTGTACTTTGTACTGTACTTATCGTAAATCTTAGTCAGTTCTTGTCCAATACAATGTGGAATGCTTGCCTACTTTTATTTGCATACTTGGGATACTACAGTAACTTGCCTACTTGTGAGGTTGCACCATGATGTTGACCTCCAATCCAACTTTACAGGAGGAAGGACAAAAGTCAAAGTAATGGTGCATTGCATCACGGGGTTGAGTCCTATGGGGATGGAGGGTGGCGGCCGGGGAAGCTCCGAGCGAACTTTGACCTTGACAAACACATGGAAATGCAGGAAACTGAGCCGAAGGTAACGTGGGGAGAATTGAGTCGTCTGTGGGCCAGATCAGAGTAGTACATTGTTTGTTGTTTTCGTCTTATTCTTTAACCATTTGGTAACTCCCAGCAAATAAAATCCATTCTTCCTCACACTTGAATATATTCCAGAATAGAAATCACATCAAATCCTAACTGAACATCATTCTTATGTTTTTGGAAAAAATTGTGAATTATATTCTATACAGCCTTGTACTTTTTAAAAGAAAGCAACAAATTGACTGTCACTAAACATGTATGTCACTGATCTGGCCCAAGCACAGACTCAACTGCCCAAACTAACATCATGCTAGTTAATAAGTTGATATTAACTAACAACCACCTGTTGAATGCCTCTATAGGAGAAACCGTAGCAAGAAGGAATTGGGGTTTAACCACGATATGGTTGAAATGCAGCCCAACGTTTATTCAGAGAACACCGAGGTTTGTGAGAGTAACATGAACCCGAGATTCATGAAGTTGAGATTCAAAACAGTTCTTCTGCCAATGGGATACCTCAGTCTTACAGATCATCATGTATAGTTGTGAGATGGTGTTGGCAGAGTAAACTGTTTTGAATCTCTGCTTTTCGTATCTCTAATGGTGGCATATTGCTTGAGCCTGTGTTGCCTTGGGCTGTTCCATTTAGAGGGATTGAGGGAGCTGAGAAGTTTTCTTTCATTTCTATTTTGTCTAACATGTCTCTTTTCTCTTCACAACAACTCTTTCATTGTTAATAAAACATAATAACCATCTTCTATGTCATCTGCTATTAGACCTCTTTTATTAATTGATATGATACCTTTCACTTCTATCACTTACCCTTGCTGTTTAATATTGATCCATTCTTATCATTTTTTATGTTTTGCTCCCCCCTCAAGCCATATTAATGGAACAGCCTGAAGGTCAAAATGCTTCCAATTCCTTCTTGTGGTAATGTGTTGGTGTATGTGTTATTGCATTGTGAGTGAAATTTATAAGGAATGGATAAACAGATGAATTAACAAAGTGTTGTTTACATGATTTATGACACAACAAAATTGTAAAATATATGTATGTTGTGTTGTGTTGTGTTGTGTTGTGTTGTGTTGTGTTGTGTTGTGTTCAAGATAACAAAATAAAAAAAAGCTCTTTCATCCAGAGTGTAAAAAAATTACTACATTGACCATCACTAAAATGAGTTGATGGAATATGATTAATGTATAACTGTATGTTGAACTTTGACTCATGATTATCTTTGTACCTGTTTGCTATCTTGCTGATGCTCCGTGTGCAACTATTGCTCAGCCTCTATGCTTAAATCAATGTAAACAAGCTGTTGTTTTTTGCATCAAATAAGGAGATTATAATCATCTTTGTTCATGGCCTCTCTCCAGCACCGTTTGAGTGGAGACCAGGCGTCAGGTGTCGCGACCACGTTTGGCAGCGGACACGCCAACAAGGCAGCGACTGGTGATGACGGGAAAGAACTGGACATGGACTACTTCTAGCATATCAAGACTTGAACTGCACATTATCCTTCCTCAGACTGTAGGTCGTCAAATAGTGCCAAGTTGGCCAGGACATTTACCAGTTTGCTAGTTCTAAGACATTTTACAGAGAACAGAATGAAAACAGAAAGCTGGGAAGAAATCTTAAATCTGACATAATTGTCCACTGTCCCCCCCCAGGCTCTGTTTTCGTGTTGTGCTTTCAGTTTAGTATTTTTTTAAGTCTGAGAACTAGCAAATTACATTGGTGTGGTGTTATCCTAGAGTGTCAAGGCTGGTCTCATAATATCAAATTTATTCTGCTTCTCTGATAGCAACATGTGGACATTCTTTTGCGCACTATAATGGAAATCTTGTTTTGATTTTTTTCTCAAACATAGCTAGGTCCAGAGTAGCAAAATATAGAAAATATCATAGTGTCTTTTTAGATTTTATTTTTTATCTATCCCCTTTTTTTTATTGCTTAATATGATCTATAGTCCAATTGGCACCCAAATATGTGGAATAGAGAATTCCCAGAAAGAGAAAAATGTGCAAATGTGCCAATCTTTGGACACAATTTTAATTGCAATATATACAATTATACAATGATGTGCCTGTATCTATTTCCTTCAGTGTTTGTACAAAGGAGATCTTTAGTGAGTTATAGGAGTTAAACTCACTCTGATTATCTTATAAAAGTTACCCAAAGGAACACAGTCAACTTATGATATCAACACTTTGTAGGGGTGTGAATCTGCTTTGCCAAATAATACCATAACGGTATTCTATCTTATAGAGGTTTGGAGGGTTTCATGTACAGAGAATGTAAAATATGCAATGATGTTTTCTGGTGTCTTCCACTTACAAAGCTATGTAGCAGCTGTAGTAGTCATGTGATCTCTGTTCTTAAATGTGATTGGATGAAATCCATTTGTAAAAACTTTGTGTGTACAGTCATCTTCTCTATAACTGTTTGTTGGCTGTTTCTGATATGGCCTTTCCCTATGGATGATAGGTTGCCCTTAATTTGACTCAATTATGCACTTAGTCGCCTGCCCAAGTCACCAGCCCCCTATATAGGTCCCTATAAATGTCTGTGGCAGTCAACAGTGAAGTTTTTAGAAATGTGGAATTAAGGTGTTACAAGTGCCAGACTATAAATATTGTACTTCATCATCATCATCATATCCACACAGTTTTTCACAGCATGGTTCTATGTGCACAATTTGCGGAGAAGCAAATGTTAAAAGAAGATTGTACTGTCTTGTTGATATCGTACTTAGTGCCTGTGTCATAGGTGACAAATTGTACTTAGGGGAGATCCATTTGATATCTTGAGGTGAAACGTCTTCAAAATCACATCTTGTTATTCCATCATATCATCCAAGTGAAAGAAATTTGATACAATATTTCAGGACTGTGGTCTCTCCCCATACCAAAACTTTTTAATCCAAAGTTCATGCAGTGCCTTATAGTGACTAACTCTTTTTATTCTGATTAATGAGATTTTAGAGGGGACATTTCAAAATCAAAAACTTACATGAAGCAAGATAGGCACATAGGAATGATGCGTTTTCATAAAAACTTTATTTATTAACAGTCTAGATAGACCTTTTTAAACTTTTTAGTCACCATAGTTAATAGTTGCTAGAAAACCAGTCCGAAACAATATATATAATAGCATATAGAGTTTTACCGCTTTGATTTTGAAATGTCTCCTTTGTGCCAGTTGCAGGGCCAACCGGCATTTTATAGACCAGTTAGAATTTAATTGAGCAGATATGCTTTGAATATGCAACAGATAAGAATTTTTTCCCCAGTTAATTTGTTGTGTTACAGGATTTTTGATGATACATGTATGTGGAAATTGATTTTTGATGGTAGGACTGAATTTAAAAAAAATAGCACTTTGTCTAGTTTGTTCTGCTAGTATTTAGTTTGTCTTGCATCTGACTATGATATAAAAACATGATAATGTGTAATAAGCTTACAGGAAGTGTCTTTATAATGCATATGGGCAAGTCATTCAGGGAGGACTAACAGCAAGCTACAATGTACTTAGAGGCATCTGATAGCAAAACTTTGTTGTCTCTGCTTGAAACCTGGTTTCACGATTTTATCCTTGTTTGCAATTGGTTTTAAAAACTTTGAGAGTTCATATTGTTTGGGTTGCGCATGCACTTGTAGTTATAGTAAATGTTTACTCAAGCTATGTAACAGGAAGATTTTACATGAATTAAGATAACTCTTGTTAGGGAGAGTTTGGCTTTCTCTTATGATGCATTTCTGCATAACTGAACTTCCTATATGTACAATATAAAGCTATGATTTTACCTTGTTGCAAAGATTTAGTTATTTTTTTTTTTTTTTTTTCAACCTTTATTTAACCTTGAAAATGTACAGTACAATTTCGTAGCAGTACAAACTCTTCGGCCTAAGCCGTTTTTCAAGAGGTCAAGGGGAGGCAGGTCAGGGGTCTTTGCATATTCTTCAGTTCAGTTCAGTTATGATTATATTGCTTTGTTGCAAAGTGCCTCGCACAAGGAATGCTTGCAATAGAAATGATTTAAAAGTTTTCATTTGATTTCATTTTCATACTTTCTTTCACATAGTGTTTCACAGCATGGTTGTTTGTGTACAATTTGTAGAGAAATGCTTAGAAAAGATTATACTTAGTTGGTAAAGTACAAGATCCTATTTATACACTTGACTCTGGAACTGTTTTTTGAAAACACAGTGTTAATCAAGAATCAGCGGTGCAGAATAATTTTCATGTGATCATGACAGAATCAGCTGTACAGTTTTGCCACTATTTTGGTGTTAGTGAAAGAAAGATGTATAAATTTGTCACTTCGGAGATAAATTGCAATAAAGTTTGTTGTTTACAAGTTGTTGCTATTTTTTCTGACAATCTTCTTTTCATCTTCTTTCTTTAGCCCCAATACAGCGTGTTAAGTCTCTTCTCTTTGGCGTTGCCAAAAATACAACACAAATGTACGCTCAGGTGGCTTTCAAAGCTCAAACTCATGGGGTGGATAGGCGCCTTAAGCGGTATCAAAACTTTCTAGGCTCGCTAATGACATCTAGCGATCAGGGCACGAACTGCAGGTCACAATTGGCTGCAGGTTATTCTCACTTCCTGTTTAGACAAGCGCTCGTGCCTAGTGCGTACCTTCCGCAGTGCCTTTTCTTAGAAGGGTAACGGCGAATCCGCGCGGGAAGGAAACCGGAAATGTGGCTTTATAAAAAGCCTCACCAGATCGTCTGGCCGTTTAAACAGAGACAACGCTACCAGTTCGGTACAGGGGCTCGCGACTTTCACAACTTTCAACAGCCATGAAGATGCTAGTGTCGTTCGTCCTTCTAGCAGTGATTGCTACAGCACATGGTGAGTCGTGATGTCATACTTATTTCCTTTCGTTCGTATATACGGCAAATCACAAGTGATATTGTTGGGAGTATTCTCCAAGCAGGTTCGTTCGGGTTAGAATGGTTGGGATTTTTAAAGCGTAAAAAATCCCGGCCAGTGTAACCCCCTGAACCAAAGAGGTTAAAATACCGCCATGCCTGCACGTAACCCCTGCTTGGAGAATAGGCGGGTTACTATTAGTACCAATGGCTTACTGGTGTTCGGAGCTACCGGCCGTTGCAATACGCCATGTAAAAATGACAATTTTCTTATCACTTTATTAAGACATAGATGTATTCACCATATTTACCTTACCTTACATAGTTTCTGACAAGGTGGGTAACTTTTAAACTCTAATATGAAAACAAAATCAACATTACTTGATCGACTAATTTTACTCCATTCGTCTTGCAATGAGATCAGTGAATATTGGGACAGGCAGATAGAAAAATAAAGCAGCTAGCGATACGATGCCAATGTTGATGATACAATCCCAATAAAAACATAAAGTCGTGCCAGTGTCAGCGGCCTGAAAATCAAAAGGTAGACTTTTGTTTTTCATGCAAACATTATGTCATCGTAAAAGAGATGACAAAAGTAAATATGCACACGCAATGTTGGTAATGTCTAGTAATACTTCTCTCCAAGCAGAGGTTTGGGTTTTGGTTATTTTTGACGCGGTTTAGGGTTTTTTTTCTCAGGCTTTCTGTTTTTGCACTGTTTATTTACGCCAACCCAAAAAAGAAATTAAAGCCCGATAAAAAAGCCTAAAACACGCTAAAATACGCCAAAACCATAGTCTTTGCTTGGAGAGTATGATAATACCGTGAACGTAAAAACATCCACGTGGTCGATGCCCTGTCTGTGCGCGGTTACCCCAGGTCATGTTGTTATCGTCTGTGGTCACCGTAAATCACTGCTACTTCCTGTTAACGGTAACTGTTTCCTGTGGGTGGTTACGGAAGCCCCCGGTTATCATTATTTTCTCACATGATCATTCTCTACAGACCACTGGTGATTAATGATAAACATCCCGCCTGATTTCAGGAATAGAGTTTGTGGGAGAATTTTAAATCTATCCATCCCTCTCTCATCCTTTCTTTTTTCTCTCTCTCACTCAGACACGCCCACACCCAGACACACGGACGCACACACATAGTAGCCTCTACCAGACTTCAGGAGGCGACTGGAAAGAGTAGAAATTGGCCAAATAAAGAGATCACATGCCGATGGAGTTGGTCCTCTAGAAAGTACAGTTTGCCGCTCCCGAAGCCTGGCAGAGGCGACACACATAGCACCATGTATCTACGAGGAGACTACCGGAACTCCCTGTGTCGTTGCGTGCCAGGGGTCCGAGGAAACTGAAAGTCACCATCAGTGATATTTCTGCATTGTCATCCATCCGTTTTCCTGACTCACACACGAACAGCTAGTATAGTACATGCTCTCCTTCATTCTCTCTCTCCCTCCCCCCCTCCCGCTCTCTCTATCTCCCTCTTCTTTTAACTTCTGAACCAAGAAAAATACAGAATGTGCTTCAATGGCAAACTCGGTGCAAAGGCGATCGTGATTTAAGACAACTGCAATTGATAAATCATGTGAATCTGAGTGCCGTAAGTAACACCCCGTTCTCCCTTTACCGTGCCAGGTCAGGCGTCCTCTCGGCAGAAGGACGGCTCCTGCCCGCCGGTGGATCTCGACTCCTTCGGTCTGTGTGCGGACCTGTGCGATGCGGACCTGGATTGCCCAGGTGAACTGCTGTGCTGCCCTAACGCCTGCGGCGCCACCGTGTGCCAGGAGCCGGTACTGCACTCCACGGAGGCACCGCCTGAGCCCCCGACAGGTACGGCGATAATTTCCTACCCCAAGCAGATGTTGGGGGCGATCTTGACGTTTTCTTGTGTCTTGGTGTGCTCTTACCCTATGTCAGTTGTTATTTTGTGGAGATCTGAAAATGACTGAGATGTCAGCCAAAATTGTGGATCCCGATAAAGTCAAATACGGTCAAAGTACGTAGCTACTTATCTAGTGAAGTACATCTGCTTGAAGCTACATACTAACAGCGGTTCTTTGTGTGTAGATCCATGTCTGGAGGTGACGTGTGTACAGCAGGGAGCGTCATGTCAGGTGATGAACGGACAGCCAATGTGCAGGTGTCCTTCAGACTGTTCTCGGTAAGTGTGTGTGTGTGTGTGTGTGTGTGTGTGTGTGTGTGTGTGTGTTTGTTTGTGTGTATGCGTAAGCGAGCGAGCGCGCGATTGCGTATGCGTGTGTATGTGTGTGTGTGTGTGCGCGCGTGTGTGTACATTCCCGCACGTTGTATGCGGTTCTGAACGCAATGTTGATTTTACAAAAAGATATTCTGAGTGAAAACAAACATATGTAAAACATATAAAGGTCGTTGTCAATTTGTTGTACAAAATAGCTAGCAGAGGGTGGTTTCGATCCACCGACCTCTGGGTTATGGGCCCAGCACGCTTCCGCTGCGCCACTCTGCTCTGGTTGACGAACATTCCCACATTAAACTTTTATCAGTGTGCCGTCAGATTTCAACATCCCTGCCGTTTGTTGCATCAGCTCGATGCGGTCGACCCACACCCATAAGCCTGGCTCGCACACAGCTGGCATTTTCCCAAGGATCTTGTAAGCCACAACCTGGCCTGCGTGCAAAGATAACTTGATGAATCAAGCAGCTTCACCGTGATAAATTCTTACTACAGGACACCAAGCCTAGCCTCTACCAGGCTTCGGGAGGCTGCTTGAAAGAGTAGAGATTGGCCGAATAGAGAGATAACATGCTGAGGGCGTTGCGGCAAAATGTATGCGTACTTTCTAGCTATAGCGGACCCTCGACATGTTGTATAGGCTCTCTATTTGGCTAATTTCTACTCTTTTCAGCCGCCTCCCGAATCCTGGTAGAGGCTACACCAACCCCTACACGCAATGCAGCCATTGTATCGTGTAGGTGGACAAGGGTCAAACATGCGGTGTCTAGTGGAGGTTGAAATTTGACTTTGCCACCGATTATTGATTAATAGCAACCAAGGAGGCTCTAGTATTAAACGGCCTTATAATAACGTTAAAAAGAAATCTATCTAGATCTAGGACACAAACCTTGCAGAATGAAACTTTTTTGTGAACGTTTGTACCCCAATATAATTGTGTGGGTGAAACCATAATTTCCTTCCAGCCGACGCAGAGATCATTCAGGCTTCCAGCTTGACCTTAAGGTCAATCTGCAGTAACCAAGCTAATCAAATAAAAGACAAAGACATGTAATAAATGTTTGGTTTTGTTTTGTTTTGTTTCTTCTTTTTCCTCTCAGTTTTGGGCAGTCCCCAGTGTGTGACATGTCCGGGAACTCTTACAACAACCAGTGTGTTCTGGACGCCGTGGCGTGTCAGCTGGACATCACCCTGGAAACGGTCAAGTGTCCACAGCCAACCGGTGAGCATGCGCACTGGGCTCGAACTGTTCTTATTGCTAACTAAAACGAGCAGGGCGGGATTGGGGTAAAGTTGCATGCGCCTCAGAACTTTTCATACATACAATGCCTTTAAAAGAATATACTTTTAAGTTGCAATGGCCATGCATTTTTTTCATTCCGGGACGGGGTGATACAAACTA